AACACCAACCTAGTCGCACTTGTTGGAGAAACTCTGTAAGATGTGGGAAGTTTCACATATCTGGGTGGCATCATCGATGAACGTTAAGAATACGATGCAGGCGTAAATGTGAGGGTTAGCAAAGCAAGGACAGCATTCCCACAGTTGAAGAACATATGCCACTCAAAACAGACTGTCAATCAATACCAAAGTCAGAATCTTCAATACGAATATCAATACAGTTCTAATGTAAGCATCTGAGACTTGGAGAAATACTAAAACCCTTACCAAAAACGCATGATAACCGATAATATATATACCAACGGTGTTTGAAATCAGAAGGCAATAAGCAGCGGTGACTACAGTTTATTAGCGGATAGCATGAATAACAAAGCTGCAAGCACACCGAGAGGATTTGAAGCAGAGAAGCGAATGTTTGTATGCGAGCAAATGCAAGGGCAAATTTATAGTTAAATCGATGCACAGATAGGAAAGGCAACAGCTAACAATAGGCCCCGAGTACAGATACACGTGGAGAAGAGAATGATTCATCCACCGATATTCAAGATATCAACATTTAAGCTAGAGAGAGGTATGCGTAGGCTGTTATGTGATCAAGCGTACACGTTTATACAGACAAGATAGTGATCATTATAATACAAAGAAGTAGACGAGTTGTTACTGTCCGAATAACATTGTCCGTTAAGTAAGTTAATAAAATGGCATAACAAAAATTAATCACAATCGATATTGATTGTAGGAGAGATGCTATAAGCAAATGTACTTACAAACAATTATCTCCACAAGATACTGAATATTTGCTGACCGGACAGCATTAACAATAACCTACTGTGTTAGAGAACAAACCAGGTTCCAGGTGAAGAGGAGGTGAATAGGATATACATTGTGGAAATCACCAAGCTGTATTAACTTGAAATCCTGAAGGGAAACGGAAGAGGAAGACCAAAGAACACACTACGTCGGGAATCGGAAGCATACATGAAAACGATGAATAGCAACTGAAAAGGACTGGAAAGGATTGCTCAGGACAGAGTTGGATGAAGAATGCTGGTGATCGGCCTATGCTCCTCCACGAGGGGGGTAACAGGCAGAAGTAAAGTGAGTAAGTACATAACATTTCATGAAAAGTTAACAGACAATATATAACTTCTAATCATGTGTGTTACGTCATTACCATAGTAGTAAGGGAATTGAGAAAAGTAGTACATTTGATCGTGATCACGCAATCGATTGTTCAGTATTTTCGACCATCATTTAATCTGCAACTATTGATTAATCAAAGTCAATAGCCTAAGTCCCATAAGCATTTATAATTTGACAAAATTATATTACTTCGGAACATTACTCTGTAAGGATTCAGTTTGTTATTTTCACGGTAAAACTGTTATATACAACTAATAAAAACCATCATTCATACAACTATTTACAATTTGCTACCCAACTGATCAGATAAATAACTATGTGCTGTAATGTATTTAACCTTTATGGTCTGACAACTATTTATATTATAAATTATGTTCTGCAATTTCAATGTTCATTTTTGAACTTTATATATACACTAACCTAGGTCACCAATAATCAGTTTTCAATACAACATTCGAATAAGTTTATCATAATTACAGCAGGATTTTGATAATACCTAATGTAGTTCATTAATGTATATTAATAATACCTAATTATCTACGGGTTAGTGTTTGACATTTTCATTATTCAATTTTATACAATTTAAAAGTTGATACAGACTGAAAAAAAAATTCAGTCAAACAACTATGTAATTAGTACCATTATCAGCAATCACTTTAATCAATTTGTATAGTAAACAAGTACAAACATAAAAATTTAGATTGTTCAATGTAGTTCATTGATGCTATATGGAAAATAAACGAATTAGAATAGAATTAGCTAAAAACTAACTAATCACCTAAATTAGAAACTTGTTTTATACCATCCCACAGCACATAGTTAAGCTTACTTAAATTATGTATATGGGAAACATGGAATATTCATGTTTTGGTGTATAACTTTCACTTATAACTATGTTATCTAATTCATAAGACTTCCTATAAAAGGCTGAAATCCTACGGAATTAATTTATTCATATAACTAATTTGTTTGAGATTACAAAATGGTCATCAGTTTATAGTTAATAGTCAATGTGTAACCAAAATCTTTTTAAGCTCAATAAAGAACTCATTGTATGAATATACCAATCTATTTGTTGTTCACTTAACCTTCATCTGCCAATAACAAATATGTTATGAATTTAGGAATCATAGATTTTTTAAACAAATTATTGTTTGATATTTAACAGTGAGATAAATAACATTAAAAAATACATTTTTTATGCAAAGATGGATAGTGACTAGCAGTAGAATCCAGGACGCATGTTTCGTCCTATTCGGAACTCGCCAGCTGGATGTACCTGCATCCCAGATTTGATGTTCACCTCGGGAAGATACAAGTAAAACAACACAAAGTGAATATAAAATACACCATTTCATCCATATAATTAAACTTGAATAAAGAGATACGCTTGTACATGAGTCATTTCTGTCGTTTTTTCTTCAAAATTTCTTTCCTTCTAATTTTGAGACTAAACTTTCAAGTTTTCTTGCTTACCTGCATGTATTTCTATTTACTATAATTTGACAGAATGAAGTCACTTTCTTTGGTATACTATCTAATTATGTAACAGAATAACTTGATGAGAAGGCTGTTGAATGAATTAGGCATTAGAGATTTTATTCAGGATAATAATGAAGCTCAGTGAAATTGTCTAGATTAGAGACGACAAAACCACCAAGAGATCAGTAATCATCAATTTCTTTTTACTTTCAAAATGCAGATGATGGACATTTTGACTATGAAGAATATCACATTAGCTCAAAGTGAAACCAATAAGTTAGAATTATTTTGCGACAAAGATAATAAAAACCGATATCTATATAACGTGGATATAGACATCAAAACGTTATTCTTTCGATTAAACTGCTCTCGAAACTATCTAATTATATTTATTCTCATGAGATTATCTTGAAATGAAACCTGGACAAGGTTGCCAGGCGAAACGTTGGATTTACTTCAAATTCATTCGCTGAGATTTTACAAATACATTCTTCCTCTTTAATGTCTCACATCAACTCGGAGCCCAAATATTGTGAAACTATTTTATCAAATTTAGACGAAAGTTCTTAGTTATTAAAACTTTACCAAACTAACAAGTTATAATAAAAATGGTCTGTGACCAAAATAAGGTGGATAAACAAAAAAGAAATTTGACATAATAACATTGAACATGGGTTTCAGCTGCCTCGACGCCACTTGTATCAATTCCACCATAGCTTATTCTCTTCTCTGAAAATCTAGTGATAGTCTGTAAATAATAAGGAAATATTCAAAGAAGGCATTAAGTGAAAAGTGGAGATACGCTTTTTGTGACGCCAAAGACAGGTGTAATTAATGGCTCACACATCACTGCTCTTTGGATACGATATATATTATGCAGACTAGTGACTTGGGACATTATTAGATGCAGCCAGAATTTATAATAAACGAGATCTTATTACAGTATTCCCATAAAAACCACTGGGATGTTTTTGTTAGATTAATGAAATCTGCTTAACATTATTACTTGGACTGTAATTTTCTTTATTTTCACTCCTTTAAAACTCTAAAAAACTCTAGTTCTGAGTGTATAACATATTTATTAATGGCCAACTTCATCGGATGTTTTTTATGAATTAAATATATAATAGATGACCTTTAAATAAGCAATCACAAAGGCATTAAATCGTTTGTTATTTATAGTTCATCACATGCTTGTAACTTCTTAGAATTTTACTATTAATACGACCAGTGAGCTCATAGTGTCATATTAAATTAAATCAGCGAAAATGAATGATCTTTGTCATCATAGAGTTTACCAGATTAAAAAAAATACTCATTTCTAACATGATTTGTCTTTTTGCAAGTATTGATAAATTGACAGATTATAATGTTATCTAGATCATGTTATTAAAACAAATGAACATTTGAACTGATAATCTTTTTTCGATAATAGTGATAATAGTTTGAGAGCATAATTTGAAGAATCAGGTTGTTCTATCTACAAAATTTTCCGGATGTAAAACGATGGGTTCAATCAGTAATCAAGCGAGAACTTTGACAAATTGAACTGAGGTTCCCATTGAAAATTATGATTGATGGGATCAGGATAGTTAGCAAGTGATAAGTACTTCTGAGCAATATAAATAAAGTGAAAGAAATCGCTTTATTCATCACAGACTGATGATACAACTCGGATCAAAGTAAGTGGAACGAGAATCGAACCTGTGGCCTAGTGGTTCAAAGTTGAACGCCTCGACTTCTTAGCCACTGCTTCACAAAAAATCTGGATTCTGAATCTTCGTAAGACCCTGAACATTTCTTATTCGAACATTAAGCTTTATGATGAAATCTTAGATATTAAAGATGATAGAACTACTAGAATGGCTTGTACGAAAGATTATTTGAGGTATATATAATGTTTATTATTGAAAGATCAAGGTTTTTGTTCAGTTTACAATATACGAATCCTGAGTAAAGTACAAAATAAATAGAAAACGTCCAGTTTTCTACAATTGGCATAACATGCTATCAAGCTACTCCAACGTCAACTTTACATAAAAAATAAACGTATTTCTAACTTTACTCTGACATCCGTATTTCAAATTTTTTATACGATCTCATTAGCTTCAGCTTAGAATACAACTAACGTTTCGCGTTTACCTTCATTTTTAACATACTGGCTTGTCGTGTGTTATAATCGGTATTATAAATCTTTTCATATTCAGAAATCACTATTCCTTTAAAGACTAACTGTAAAATTCCCTCATCTAATTATGCTTGCTAATTAGTCAATGTAGTATTATAAACTAATTCATATAAAACAGTTAATTACTTTCCCCTACTAAAATTACTACTCATAACACTTTCAGCTAATTAAAAGTTGAATAAACATTGTAAAATGAATGAAATTCATATTTTCTATCATTCTAAATCTTATTGATACATGTGAAATGAGATCAGAAATTCTGACTTTACAAAATGTCCAAATGATATTCATTGATAAAGTGTAGAAAATTAGTACAGTGTAAACTATTATCAATAAAGGATGATAACAATATTATAAGATTGATAAAATATGCACATTAAAACAAAGATCTAAATGAATTATAAATGAACAAAAAGAAATAAAATAAATGGTAAATAATGAAAAGAGAAGAAATAAAGAAAGAAAATAAACTAGTCACATTCTAATTTTATACTTCAATATTGATAAGATTTTTTTTTGCTTTCGTACTTCAACCAGGTACAGGATCATTGATTTCTACTGCACCAAGACCTAGTTCTAATCGTTCTGTGTCATCATCAACTTCATCATCATCTAAATGTGATGTAGGACTGCTACGATTTGAACTATTTGCACCGGCACTTCGCAACGGTGTTGATTGTCCTGATAATGATGGAGATACAGGTGCTGAATATGGTCGACTAAGATGAAAACTATGAGTCGATAAAGTATCATCATTATTGTTAGATGTGAATAGTTCTGGAGAGAATCTCTTTAAAGCCATTAATCTGGCACGTTGATAGTACTAGATAAAAAAGATATATTTGAAACGTACTAATAATTAAAAATGTATATAAATTATAACACACTTCAAAAGTGTCAATACTTTATAGGACACTAACTTTGTTAATGACATTCAAACGATAAGAGTGATCCATAGATTTATTATGATAAGCATAATAAAAATTCTGTTTTTAAAGTCAACATCACGTTGATGAATTAAAAAGAACAACCAAAACACAAGCACAAAAATCCATGTCTTTATATCCAAAAAAGTATCCATGATATGGATGTATAGTTTATTAACACTAAAAAAAATTTATTAATAAAAACGACATATTACATCGGGAAATATTAAAATTAATTCTATCCTGTCTTCCTTATGACCAGTCGTGTTACATTCAAAGGCTTAAAAAATATTATGGAATGGCGTCTAGAATTGGTCAGGAAAGTTCTACTCACTACCTTCTCGTGGCAAGGGTGTTGTTTACGAAATTGAGAGAATGAAAAGCGAATGTCCGGCTCTTTACCCTGATTGGTGGATATGGAGGATCCACCTAAAGGAGTTGGAGAACCCTGATTCCAAACCAATGGTGCACATGGGTTACAGGATCCCGAAAGAAACAAATGGCGTATGAACCAACTGTTGGTCACCGGCTACCATCTCCTTACATTGCTCCACTGCCTTGTGGATCAGACCTTCAGGTCGAAGGCTCCGGGTGTGGCCTCCTAAGAAAACCACCTGCTTCGGTTTGGGCACCCGGGCAGTATCACAGCCCTCACACATATCAAATAAACAACATTCAAGAACTTTTACACTTACACAGGAAAGATTTTTCCAATCCAACAGTTCACTTAATCGCTCAGTACGATTTCTTAAAACAATACGTTGACGACGAGAATATTGACAGAACTCAACCAAATACTACAGAGAAATTAGAAATAAGGTATAAAATGAAAAAAAGATTTAAAGAAAAAATTATACTTATGATATATGTTTATATTCATATACTTTACAATTAAGAAAAACAACCCGGCAACCTGATGGACAACAGCCAACTCCCTTTTAAAACTAAGCTATCCATTTTAAATTGAAGAAATTTTCTACATATGCTGCCCATTAGGAAATCATATATTTATCACGAATGATGATTGAAGACACAACAACACGACTACAGTTGTTTGTCTTAGACGCTTGAAAGGACGCAGTATGAAAAACCAAATGGTCAAGAAAACATTCAACAGAATATGATATTTGACTTTAATATTTTTTTCTCAAAGTAAGATGAGTCCAAACAACCTTGAAAGTTATTACAGAGTGCTATGTAGATTGTTAAATTTGAAGTTCTCACATCATAGGTTGACTTGGGTTAGACAATTATGAAAAGTTAATCAGTACTGGATAACTCTGAACACCTCTGAAAGTGATGTTTTTCCTTAAATATTACTATTCGCAGAAATGATTTGTATCGAATATATTTTTGGTTTAATCTTGATATATCAATAGAAAATGACCTATAATTGGATGCACAGCACTCAATCATTATCCTGTCTTCTTATTCTATAAGATACATAAAGATACAGAAATACTCTCTACTTTAAATTGTGTCATATTTGTCAAATGAGTCGCCAAAGGCTGAATCCTATACGTGATCATAAAATGAGTTCAAAAAGGGATTATGAACGAGTGAAATAGAGCCAACTGCAGGTGTAGGTTAATTCCGGTTTTGATAGTCTTGATGGTATAGAAATACCTTGGTTAACTGTTGAACACTGTCTTCACAGCTTTGAAAACGACGATCAACAATGTATATTCCATACGATTTTGGATCTTCTACATGCTCTTCTATGAAGCAGCCAAATCCAGAAAGATTTGTTGTTACTGATGGAATACCCATTACGGTGCATTCAGCTTAAATGAAAAAAAGCAATATACAAGAATATTGAATAATTACTATATAAAAATGCACCAAATCATGTCATTTTTAAGTATCATAATAACGAATGAGACTTTCGTCACTACAGCTCATTAAACACATCATGTGTTCTAAAAAGGATGAAACGAGCTTCTTGGGCTCCACTGTTAATCACCATTCAACTCAACCTACTATACTTGTAACTTAATAGCAATACCGATGCAATCCATAAGGGACAAGCATATGCCGAAAAAAACTGATCAGTTCCAATCTTAAACATCAATGGAAAGGTGAAAACAACCAATGAAACGGAATAATTATTTGAGCTTTTAGCTTGGCTGAAACATAACATTAATGTTATTTGCTGTATTCAATTCAATAACATGAATTCAAAACGTTAACAGATTGTAACGTTTGTATTCAAGAAATATATACTGCAACTTTTCAGACAAAGAACAGTTGACGCTGACAACATTGGTTTTTCATAATTATTTCACTATCAGGCTGGTAGACACTTTCTAATGAAAGAAAGAATAATAACTAATTCATCAATTCTAGTTATACTAATTCTTAAAAGAAAAGTAAACAAATTATAGGAAATAATCGAAAGATTAAATAACTGGCTGTTAAACTAAGATTTGTTAGTAAAATTCAGACATCAGACAAATAAAATCAAACCTGGTGTATAACCCCATGGTTCATAATATGATGGGAAAACACCTAAATGACAGCCTCGAACAAATTCTTCATAATCCATCGGTAGTAGTGGATTGGTAGAACTTAAGAATTCAGGATGAAAAATAACCTATCAGTTGGAAAAAAAACACAAATTATATACATACACATCATACAAAACAGAATTCAGAAATAAAACAGTTATGATACATGATTTCTTTAATATTTTGTAACATCTTATCGACAGGTAAGTCACATGACAACAGTTTACCTTATATAGAACAAAATAAACACGTAATCATTCGATGTAATAGTTGGGAAAGCCTAAGTAAATTTAGAGTATCAAGAAATATAAGTTTACTGTAGTTAACGATGGGATGGTTTATTTATGAGCAGTTTCCTCTGGACCTAATAATCAGGACTTTAATGATGGCTTTCAATGTTCCAGATTTGTCACCGAATACACATGGACGTATTCAAGAACACATATTTGATCTTTCAGAACATCTAACCATTATAACCAAAATGGAAAGAGCTGTGAGTATTTCATTAGGCGTAACTGTATATGAAAAAACTACCATTTATATAGTACCTCAAGATGATTTTCAGTCAACTGACTTTCAATATCTTGAAAATTAAAATGGAGTTTAAAAATAATAACACAATAACAAATGGTTTACTTTAACACGATCATGACGATCATTAAATAACTGACACCGGCGTAAGTTACACAGAACTAGGTCGATATTATCTTGAACAACATTGTGTGTACAAATAGGGGGCAAATTATTTCGTTGTGTTGCATATATACAACGTTTAAGACGAAATACATCACCCTGAAAAACAAATATGAGTTGATTAGATGGTTACATATAAAAAATGACTGTAAAGCAAAATATATACCACAAAATCGAAGGAACATCTATAACCATACCTGAGTAAGTATATCAGATCCTTGAGGAATAAGCCCTCGAAGACACACTTCAAATAACCTATGTCCCATTTCACTTTGAATTGAATTCACTGTTTCACGTAGTTGTTTTACAATAGCTTGTGCACGAAACGAATCCACGTTAAAACTATTCGTATGAGCTGGAAAAATGAGGAACGCTACGACAGTGACATCAGTTTGTGCTTGCTAAGACAAAAGAGAAAGAAGTGAAGAGGACTTGTAGTATGATATTCAGTTATAAAGCTCGTAAACAAATTACCTTTGTAAAATGAAAAAGAAACGTTTCATGAATCTTATTGCACATTTTATTAAAATAGTCGGTCGCTTCCAACCAAATAAGCTTCGTGAAAAATCATAGGTTCTTAAGTAATAATGTGATGTTCTAGGTATAGTAAAGTTTTGACAGTTTGACGATTGTACAAACAGATGTCAAGTTTTAAATTCTAGTGTACTCTTAATGTCGACTCACATATTTTTGCCTAAATAATCCCAGAGAAGAATGGAAAAATTCACCACATACTTAATACATTAATCGTAATACGATGAACATATTTTTCCTTCCGTCTCCATACTTTTCTTTAAAGTTGGTCTTTTATCTTTAATGATTTTTCCTTTTCGTACTACTATCATTTTATTGACTCCTGATGAACAATTCTATTTATGTTTAGGCTCCTATTGCAGCTAACATTATCCAATTTTCCCTTCTGGTCTTGTTGATTTCTCTCACTATGTCGCAACTTGGATCAATACACATTCGTATCAGGTCTATGATTAACGGACTAATGATAGAAAACTGTTCACATATTGCTATCCTAATATTTTTTTCTTATAAAGTTGCATAAAGATCTGGACCAATATGTTTTTGTGCAAAATGCTATAGCGAATACATGATTTTAATAGTTGTATTCATGAGTCGATCTAAGCTAGAACACCACTGAAAATTTGGAAGCACCGGACAGCCGTTCCATTCTAGTATGGGACTCCTCAGCAGTGCGTATCCACGATCCCACACGAAGGACTCAAACTCAGGACCTTCGGCTTTGCGCGCACGCCTAACCTTTAGACCACTGAGTCCCATACTGGAACGAAATGGCCGTTCAGTGCTTCCAGCTTATCAATGGTGGTTCAGCTCAGATTGACTCGTGAATTCAATTATTGAAATTAATACAATCTCTGCAAATCTCCATTCTGAGAATACATGGTTGTAGAAAAAAGAGGCTAATTAGATAAAAACATCATGAGTTAGAATAATAACTACTTTTTTTACTGCATAAATAAAAGATGGACCTGGAGATAAGTAGAAAACATAATGAGGTGTATGATTACATGAATTGGAGACAGTTAGTCAAATAATTCCAGGTTGTTTTCGGGCAAACGATTCGAGAAAGCGATCATTCACTAACGAATCCAAAAGTTAATTAAATCTTGGTGGTGAATGCTCGAGAAAATTCCTTCAAATTGTTCAAGATAAATCGTAATTTTTATACCTGTTTCTAAAACCAGTAAGCGTATTTCACGATATCTTTTGATTGGTTTTATCACCATCCAAAGACAGAAAGCTGACTATCAGCGAGCATTTAAAATGATAAATACTCTGATCTCTTTTTTTTTTTGAGATAGACAATTAGAAACATTTAATGACAATGTAAATTATCATCTTCAATGAGTGAGTCCAGGAAACAAAATTGCCACGTTTATGATCATACATGGATTTTAGTTTGTTTTAAAATAAATCTAAACTCTATGTCATCCAGAGGTTGAAAATGTCTATTAGGCCGTCAGTTATACAGTTATAAATCGCTTGGAATTGTTATTATTGCAACTAAATTCAATAAACTAATAAGTAACAAAAAGATGGTGAATTGAAACAAAAATCTTCATTATGGATAATATGTATAGTTAAATAACTTTATTATCAACAATACTAGCATACTTTTAAATGATGATTAAGACGAGCCAGTGACTCGATAAATATATCAGCTCCTTTATTCTGGAATTCGTAACGTCCAGCAATGAAAAAATACAATGTTTTGTCCAAATCAAAATCATAATGTCTGAAAAACAAATATTATGATTTGGTTCAAAAAAAATCTTTAAAAATCAACAAAGCTTATTTATCAGTAATGAAGACCACCAACTAACCCATAAAAATGTCCTTGAATAAATTGATTCAGCTTTTCTTTAGCCAATGCATGACGATTTTGAAACTCATGAAGTGCAGCAAATTTAATAACATTAAGACCATTTGGAGTGATGATGTCTGGTTCTCTTCGCAAAAGAAACTTACTTTCCAAGCCAGTAATTTTACTTACAGTTGTAAATACGTGTGCACAATGAACGGCTGCACGTTCAAGACAATAACGATGATAAATATTTCGATCGCCAGCTTCCTGTAAGAATAAAAACAATTAACTATGAATAGTTTACAAGAATTTCTAATTTTCGGATTTTTGATAGTCAATTAGGAATCGTCTGTCATCTTTCTTTTGTGTCATTTTTCATTACTGTTTACTTTCTCTATACATGCTGTATTCAATACTTGATTCCATTAATATTAGGTGTTTAGAAAACGGATACACATCATTCTGTAACTGAAAACTACGCTGACGGACTGAAACACCGCACTACAAGCTGTTTGCAGTAATACAAATCGTCATGTCAAAGTTTACGATGGACTGAAATATCAATTTGGAATACAAAACGAAACGCGCCAACAATGTTTTTATTTGATATTTCTATAACTTCTTAGAAATAGCTTTTTCTTCAAGTAATTTTTCAGAGATCGCTTTCATATTTGAAGACTCGCAAATTCTCAAAATAGGCAGATAATACAGTTCTGTCTGATGAAAATTCTCCTAAAATTCAATCTTCTAAAGTCCTTGAATGACAAAGTATGTGAAGAGTCTCTCAAATTAAATATGATGTAACACTTTACAACCAGATACTTAAGAAGTTTAATTATAGCTGTATTCGAAACCGTAATATTTATATCAAACGTACAGATAAAAAACTTTGGAGCTACAAAAAAAGAAGTCCCTACAGATTGCTAATTTATTCCATTTGTAGTACAGATGATACGTTCGTTTGGTTTTTAAAGCCCAAGTTCTCTGAGAAATATTTTACTCTATATTTGCTTACAAAAAGTCAAAATGTGGCCTTCAGAAATAGCGTACAGGGATAAGTTAAAAATATTTGGAACATAAATAGCCTTGATAAATTGCTTGGGTATGGGTAGCATCATTGAGTAATACACATGTTTGCCGCAAACTTGGCAAGTGTTTTGAAAAGCTTATGACTTGTATAATACATCTCAACGATTTTCTGTTATGCTTAGCTTTGCTAGTTGGGATAGAAGAGAAATATATAAATACGCAACGTACGTCAGAAGTCTATGAAGTTCTTGGTTAATGATCTGAGTTCAATAAGGGTACGTTTACTTTTTAAAGTCCATGAAACACTAAAAAGATATAGCTCAGAATTAGTTGGTATTCATATGTACCAATCTATTACGTTTCCCCAAAGTTATGAACATTATATCATCATATACCTTTCATTCATCGATTTCATTGGTTAATTAGTTTATTTTTTCCTTCAGAAGTTATTTACTATTTTCGGTATTATTATTTTTAGTAATTTGTTCCTTTTCTCTGGTTTATTCTATCTAGACATATGGATATAACGTGCAATAACTTGGATCGATTAACATTTGTAAGAGGTTGTTTATGTCCGTCTATCCGATTTTTACTGATTTTAATGGTATTTTACGGACAGTTTGACCTTGAGGGAGGTTGAAAAAGTGCTGATCAAAGATTTCAAAGTAGGTTTAAAATACAAGGAAATTTGTAAACACGATTTCATTTCGTCATCTCAGAAACGCTATCTTGAAAAGATCTGGATAGCAAGTAATCTGATGAAAAATTTAGTTATTAGCCCCTGACACTATAATATTCAACACAACATACTGTTTCATTATAGAAACAGTGCCGAAGTATAACAAAGGATCAGTACAACAATGCAAGAGGCAGAAACCCATGGCTTTTTTCGTATTTAAGAAAAATAAGGAAACACCATATGATTTTGAAAATTACTTTAGCTAAGTTTTCTTAAATGATGACTTAAGAAAAATGTATGATGGTTCGTAAACACCACTTTTTTTCGTATGTTTGATAGCGGAGCTGCATTCTCGGTCTCTTGTAAAAACGTTTTACTTTGGTAAGTATGATCTAAAATTACGAAATGCTTCTGTTGATCAGGAACATATTTAAGATTGAAGTTACTATAAAACATACAGAATTACAATAACTTGGTTCATTTTTAAAACCGAGAGATAGATAATTTATTGTAGCTATTCATATAATTTTAAATTATGGTACTAGAATTTATATGCTTAAATTTGAATCATCAACTTGTATAATTAAATGATTTTTTCTACAATATGTATATGTATAATTATCTTGTAAGGTACTTCAGTCACCGAGGATGATTCACAGTTTTACAGCATCCGCCATACAGTATTTTATTGGTTCGACCGCTCAGTTGTGGGATAATATGATCAATGTAACCGTGGTATTCATAATCATACTGGGACAATAGTCCCACATCTCAAACGTGATATAGTTACTATTTTAAATTCTTTGCCTTCAGTTTCTAAAAATATGTTACACTCGACTGCCAGATCCTTATATCCCTAACAAGCAATAATAGTTTGACAACATATACATCGAAGTGTTAGTCTGACTATCTATTTCAGTTGCTTTAAGTTAATCCTCTTGTGGGGAAAATAAAACAGAAGAGAACCATGAAATTGCACGACATTAATTTCTAACGATGAAAATGAACATTAGAATGAACCATTTAGTGGTGAAACAATATGCGAAAAACAAGAACAAACCTTATCTAGATCAAAATCCGAAAGATGGTTATATAAATCAACAGAGGAAGCACACAAGTAACGACCCAAAAGTGTTGCATGTGTAGTGAACACAGTAGCAACAGGAAGGTGACGTGTACGCGTAAATACTAAACCAATGCTTGTAAGCCACTCATGAAAGTGTGCAATAATTGGTGGTTGAGGGTCAGTTTCTAGTTCTCTGACATTTTCAGCAAACTAAAAACATAAATAAAATCACAATTACTCAGAATTCATGGCAAGCGTGATGAATTAGCTTTGCTGACCTAAGCTACAATGCGAAACGAAGACATATTCAATTGATTACAAATTAAGTGGATATTCGTAGGTATCACCAAAAACAAATACTAAGAGTAAATTAGACAGATTTGAGTTTTTTTTAAATACTATGAATATAACGAACAAGTAGTTTTCTAATAATTAATAGTTATAGCACAAGAGATGTGAAACATTACATTTTTCGAGCCAATCATTGCTAAGCCGTCGGAATCAAATTTTTTATTTGCTGATAGCCACTTATACTTCTTCCTTGAGATCCGTACTGAGTTTTTATGTTGTCTAACTACGTTTAACTGGTGAACTATTTAGTAGAAAAGAAAATATTCTCTTCTTTTGTATTAAGAGGGATCTAGTTGAAACATCACGATTACAGCAATTTGTGAGAACAGAAATGAGGGTAGGACTTAGGGTTTTAATAAAGATATAGTTACTCCTTGAATACAGATTAAGTTGAAGAAGAAATGAAGATGATTCAAACATCCGGCCCTGCTTATGAAGGTCACTATGTCTTTACTTTTATAACTAACAACATTTGAAGTCTGTCTTCATATCAATAAAAAATCATCTAGTAATATCCGGTTTCCTATCATGGGACGTCACAATCTCACCATTCCTCTTCAACTTTACCATCGATGACATTCTGGAAACAGCTCTGACGAATGTAAGTAATGGCGGTGTAGATGTGTTGCATGGAAAGACTTCTCGACCTTGAGTATGTGGATGATATCGTTTTACTGTGCGATAATGCCCAAGCAATGCAATCCGCACTTACTCAGTTGGCAATCAGTGTCCGTAGCTACGGTATGTGCTTTGCACCTTCGAAGTGCAAAGTACTTCTACAAGATCGATAGGATTCTAATCCTGTTTTCACCCTGGATGGTGAACAGACAAAAGTAGTCGAGAAGTTCGTGCATCTAGGTAGCTGCATAAGTGCTGGTGGTGGCCTGAGTGATGGGATAAATTCACGTATAGTGAAAGCCAGAGCGGCTTATGTCAATCTGGGCCATCTTTGGCGCCTTCGTGATGTCAATCTGGCTGTAAAAGGTCGGATCTACAACGCGTTGGGGAGAGCGGTTTTACTCTACGCTTGTGAAACCTGGCCTCTCCGAGTTGAGGGTGTTAGACGACTCTCTGTGTTTGATCATCGTTGTCTACAAAGGATTGCTGACATCCAGTGGCAACACCATGTTAGTAATCCAGAGGTTCGGCATCGTGTGTTCGCGCACAGAGACGGTAATGCGATTGGTGTCACCATCCTGAAACACCGACTTCGGTGGCTTGGACATGTTCTATGAATGTCATCCCAGAGAATCCCACGTCGTGCATTATTTGTCGACACTGGGACTGATTGGAAGAAGCGGAGAGGTGGTCAGTGTATGACATAGTGTCGTGGTATGAAAGAAAGCTGCAAAGGGCTGGCTTCTGTTGGTCCTTCACGACTCCCTGGCTGGGGTCCGAGAGATGGTGCAACACAGTGGCTAGAGACGTTATCAGATATGGCTCAGAATAGAAGCCAGTGGCGATCCTGCTGTAACCTCCTTTTACTTTCTTCATAAAAAGTGGTTGTATCTTCCTTAACTGAAAGAATTCTTTCTGGCTGTACCTTTCCGTTTCCCACATTATTATTGTTATCAATATTTGTATTATTATCACTACATTACCGTACACTAATCTGTGGTCGTTATTGTTCTTCTTTTTTCCTTTTTTTCCTTATACGCACCTTAACTTCTTTCTTCTTTTCACATTCTCATTATTTTGTGTGGCGCATATATATTTGGTGCCCCCTTGTATCAATATTTATGTGTTCAAATAAATAATCTACCATTACGATTAATGCATGACATTATCCATATATACATTAATTTTAGAATAGTAAATAAGAATTTCGTAAACTAATCAAAAAGCCTTAACAAAAGCACCTTGTAAAAAGAAACAAATATTGTTAAATCGTCTTCAGTATTTTATAAAGAAGTGCTCATTAGCTTCGTACAATCCGTAAAAGTCATTACCTGAATTATTTCCATTTTTCACGATGCATAATAGATCTGTGAAACAATGTTTATTTCTAGTGTATTCAGAAACCCTTACTAGAAAGTTAGTTGCAAGATTCAAAACCTGAGACAGACTTCAGTGAAAGTTAGTTAATTAATATAATTTCAGAAATATGCATCTACAACCATGTTAAGCAATAATATAAACCAAGCCATAGTACTTTGATCGATAGAAAGATGGGAAAACTTCGAAAATCTTGGTAAGAATCATCAATTAATAAATCACTTTAAATTCTGTGAATAAGATTATTGTTATCATTTCTATCACAGTCGGTCTGTGATTATTTAAAAGTACCTCCTAAACGTTATCAGTCAGTCATTTGTAACGTACAACCTGGAATTTACATGAATCAGTCAAAGTTGGTGTATCGAATCAGCACAAAGAGATGAAACCACCACAAAGAAAACCAAAATAGAATTTTTATCGGTGACAGTAAAACAACATTAGACAGAAACTTTAATCTGAGGAGAGTGAATAAATTCACAAAGTAAAACGATATTGAATAATTTCCGAACCTATAATCTAAAGGAAGATAAAGAGTAAATATACTTACGTCACTGCTGCCGATTCTGAACCATGCCACGAAACATCACAAATGACTGTTTACTACGCATGTGTAGACCTCAACAAAATAACCTGCAATTTTCAACATATCCTAGTCAAGAAGTCAATGACTTCATGGACCGATGTTACATTTGGTTTGGCCGTCCCTAGCTATCTTCCAATCCACTCCCCATTCCAATCAATATTGCTTAGTGACAACACATTTTATCTAAACCTAATTAGTAACATCAATTCGTTTGTGTAGAATCACACAGCGTACATGACTAAAATTTTCAAATTTCTTACCGATACAGTGAAGATAACCATATATAATGAATTTCAATTTGATACAAATTCACTTACTTCTTTCAAAAACCAGGCAACAAGTGCTCCAAAGATGACGGCATCATTACACTCAGTATCATGGACCGGAATCCCAATATTACAAGATTCCCACAGTTCTTTCTTCCAAGAATCGATGCGCCAAGCTGATGATCCTATGTCAAACAGAACAACGTTGGGATAGCCCTCAATAAGCCACCGACCAAAAACTACCTGTAAACAATGGGTAAACATTGAATGGAAATATAAAAGAAGTACATGACTACTGCCATAATTATTGTTAAAATTAGTTTTCGAGTGTGGACGTAGTGGCTAATTTGCCTAAAAAGTTACTCGTTTTAAAATGGGACTCATTGACTCATAAAACCGTTTGAATATTCATGTAGACTACTATGGACGTTAACCCAAATAAGTGGTTTATCTATTTTACCAAAATCTAAGATAATCACTCGAATACAGTACGGATTTAAAAAACTAGTTTGAAAAAGGAACCCTTTGACAAGATCTCATGCTCGCAGAGTTCATAACCCTCTGACAGAGTTGATTTAACTGGACAAGGTAATACATAGACACACTACTATTAGAAATAATTGATAGCCTAATATCTATAAATAGCCTGAAGAGTAAAATCGAAGCAGTTAAGTTAAATTACACAATTACACATAAATAATTTTGAAGTAATTTAAAGGTAACTATAATTCTTCAAATCATCACCTGCTTTAACGGAACTATCAAACCTATAATTCCTATGTTAAATAAAACACTGCAGGGCAAACCAGTTAATAAGGCTACATTTATGAACAGAATGGTGACAGGAATAATTCATATATTCTTAGCTTGAACATTAATAGTTTGAATTACCAATGCCGATGAGATACTTTTATAAAAACCAAAATCTCTCAAATCAAACAAAAATTGATAGAACTTAAGTTCCAAATGTAAAATGACACGATGTCCATTCATTCAAGGAAAAAGGATAAGATCATACACACATGTTCCTTTATAACCTTAAAGATCTCCCTACTCAAGATAAGAAAACGAATGTAAAGACAATATAACACCAAAATGAATCAACAAATCAAAGTATTCTGATAAAAATATATAGATTTCAGTAATAGCATATAAAATCATGTCTAAAGGAAGAGAAAAATCTTGTTCAAAAAGTCTAGAGTAATGTGATGAAAGTTTCAATTGAAAGCAGAAAAAAGGCGTCCGATAACAATGTGTAGGAGCCATTATTCTTACATACTGGAAATCTAAACGAACCTCAAAAAATCAATTTATTTGAGTAAGTTTAATACAAGAACTTCAGCCTCTTTATAAGGAACTTCGAAAAATTGAGAGTAAGATTATTTACAAATTTTAGCGATATCAGGTCAGCCGAAATGATAGAAGTGAGTTATATAGTGACATCTTTACTGAAATTTAGCCAACCCATTCCAAATTGTCAAAATTTATAATTGATCTTTGTGTTTATTCACAATAAACAACGCAAATCCAATTTCGACATGATAATCAGCAGTGATTTTATGCTCTTATTTTCTACCTGCTAACTGAGGTGAGGCGTTAAAGTTTGCATAGGGAATTTTTCTTTAAAGAGTCATCAGAAGAATAGTTTACATTCACGTTTATTTAGTCATATAATAATTAACTCAATGTCAAAACATATTGTCAATTTATTCTGTTAAAATCTCTTCTCATTTCAACAAAATCGTATATTCCATAAAATTCCTCATTCAATGGGCTCGAGGATGATAAATATTTTTTGATCTTGGAATCTGAATTGAGTTCTCAATAAGTTGTGTTTATCGAGCCTTCAGCCTTGATCTTTAGGTAGGTCATACAAATTCAGGGTCACTCTTATAATGATGATTTCCGGGATCTTACAGTTTCGCGGTGTCAATAAAAAAAATACGAATACCTTGAAATTTCGGTATGTATAGTGATGAAAATTTCTTACGATTATTAGACATTCAGGAGCTTGAAACGAGAAAGATGAACAACAAAACTGAATTAGCCAAAAAGTGATTAGCATGACAGTCGGTTCTAGATATAATATGAAACAAGACTAATCCTCAGAACAAAAAATTAATGGCTAATCACATATACTACATTTTAAGCATTAGATAACTTTACATACCGATTGCATGATTACAAATCATCTCACTTTCGCACCAAACAAGAGAATTACAAATGATTTCCTATTATGAGTTCGACACTATGAACAAATTTTACTTGCGATGACTAAAGAACAAAACTGCTTTGTAAACAACCAGATAAGCAATATTAGGCAACATTTAATAAGTAGCTAATGAGATATTGTTAGTTTTAATAACAGCTTAGCAAATAATGATGAGCTTCTAACATACATGTGATCCTGCAAACAACTTCAACTGGACAGATGACCACATAACTAAGCAAAGTCAGTACGGTTTAATATAATACATTTTCAAGTGCCACATTTGTTGGAACAATTTTCCATGGACACCAGGTGATAAGTTTTCAGTGAACAAAACTTTTATGGTCAAAATAAACTTTCCACATAGATAAATAATTCCTCGTTGATCCAGTAAATGTACATACTTAACCATAAGTGGAGTTTGTGGCATTATTATAGTTTTATTATCTATCATTATATTCCAAAATATCAACTATTTCAAAGTGATGTTCCCGAATAAAAATGACTTGTGATAAGTTAAAAACCATTTAGACGAAATCAGGCATTTGTTTTTAAAATAGAATTGAAAGGTAAGTATAAGATTTTATTTTTAAATAAGATAAAAGTGTCTATGGTGAGTGGTAGTTTCAGGTAAGACTAAAATCTATGAACAAACCAATCAAATTTAAGATAAGGCCTTGAATTTTGGCGCAAAATTAATTTAATTATTTGGGTAAATAGGGTTTTGGCATTAAAGTCGATATCAGTTCGTGGTGAAAACCATAAATCTAATTCTTAACCCTATCTATCAACTGTAAATATTAATCCTGATTCCTCACACTGGTTTATAATCCTCATTTAGCCTTAATATGTAGGTGGATATTCTCATGGTCTTTTCAGCGTCTCTCAAAAGTCGTCTATGAATTGTAGTCTTACCGCGTTTCATATTTAGAGAACCTTGGATAATGATGAGTTTCGTACTTCTCTATGCGACACAACTTATATAAAATTATAATGCACAGGATAACCAACTGAATTGGCATGAAACAGGAAATTATTTTAATTGTACGGACTTCAGAATATAATAGCTATAAGTCATAGACATCGATTATGTAGAGCTATCTCAAGAGAATCAGCAAAACCACCGAATAACTAGAACATAGAAATAGCTTTGTCTCGAACAGCAGATGAATCATACCAAAATTCACTCACTTTTGTGCCATGCTCACGCATGGCTTTAACAGTACGCTTCAATGCCTCATTTGTTGGCTCTGCAACATCTACCTCAGTCCTCATGCATACTTCATTAAGTGGGCCAAATAAAATATAACGGTCACCCAACTCCTCTACAGCAGATGCAGCCTTAGTACGGATGACAGTATATATTCCACCAACTAGAAGAAAAAAGTGATACTCAATGAAGTCATTTTGATAAGGTTAGAAATAAAATGTAAGAAAAGTAATACTGACAAAACTTTGACCTTTATTGACCACCTCCCAAGCCACTTCGAAAACATATTTGCGTTGGTATACTTCAGAGTTTATTGATTGTATCAAGTCATCAGATATCAATGAGTCTCGATTATACCGAGCAACACTTGCTTTCCTTCCAAGAGTTGACATAATTCGCGCAATGCGTTCGTGACCCCCTAAATTAACTCTTTTAAGTTTAATGGCGTATTTAAACAAACTTATGCAATGAGTTGCAATTTAAAGAAATAATAATTCTTTCAATACAAGCTATGATTCATTTGTGTCTTGTGTTAACCATGACTATATTTCCGAATTTACCTGTTGGTTGATTACAATGAGCTAGATTATTATTCCGTTATTAACGGCATGGTTGTTGATGTGGTGAATAGCGATAGTTGTACAAATGCAATTAAAGGTGAATTTGAATCTCTGTTTCACAATATGGTGTTAAAAAACGTTTAAATCTTTAATTTCTTTGGACAATTCACTTTTGAAACCATCAGGTTGAGCTTCTTTTTGGGAATCAGGTCTTTCTTATCAATTGAAAGACTTGAGGGACGAGATCAGTGCACTCGATTATACAGCGTGCGGTTGAGGTTTTTGAAGTCATTTACTGTCGGACGTTTTTACTGCCCTCTGATGATTTTTTTTAGAGTCTGTTTGTCATTGTTTACGTGATAACAGGAGTAAATTTAACGTATGGGTTCCGTGGGATGTTGAAGATCTTAGAAACTTTTTATTTTAGAAACGATTCATAAAGAGGAGCTGCTACAGACATTTATGGGACTCTACTGTTACGTCATATAGATAAAACGGTCAAATAACTCCAAGCCAATTATTCTATACTAGGTCTAGTAGTTAAGTGGAACTTGTTGTTAATTCAAATCTACCTTAATCACAAAGCCTACAAGGCCTACATTTTCGTCTTAGTGAGGTATATCTCTGTCCACTTTGTCAGTACTTCTTTTACCTCACCAAAATCACTGATGAAAACATGCTACATCTTTGCAGTCTGACATTTACTCCCACAACTAGTAAGGTGTCTGTTCCTGAGGCTGAACGGTTCCTAAGTTGTCCTACATTATTTATGACACAAACAAATTTGAGGAGGATATTCATTAGTGCGACTATTAGGTTCTGCCATAGCTTTTCCCCAAAGAAGGCTTTCTGAAGATCTGTTTCTCATGATGAAATGGCAAACAATAACGTCATGAATGAATGTGCATTCTTAGAACTGATATATCTTTATTACTAGGTTGATGCTAGAATTTTCGCTTTCGTAGTTCAGTTTTAGTAGTTTGTAGTACTGACGTTCACATTTAATGGTTAACCTTATGAATCCACAACTATTGGTCGACATTTATGAGTAGTTCTATGCAACTTAGAAAGTGGCATGATGCTACCACCAAATTTATATGGCCTTACACCTGTTATTTCAGTTGCTATCTTGAGTTACCATATAGTGGGAGTCAGGAATATCATTTCGTATAAACTTTTAAAGATGAAACAGTCTTACGAGAAGAAGGCTATATATAAATAGAAAACAAAACGGCGTATCTTTGATGGTTGTTTCAGTCATTTTTTAATGTCGACTTTGATATTTCTTATTTAATCCTTTGTCTTTAGTTACAATAAACAAATATTTTATCTTTTCTCGATACGAATTCACAACAGACCATTATGCGAAAATTTTCTTAAAATCTAAGGGACATGGCGAAATATTTCTGACATAATTAACGCATTGTTCTGGTACGTTTGTGCACTATGCCAATTATCTGAAAATCAGAATTCAATATGATTATCAACAGTGATTTTATGCTCTTATTTTCTACCTGCTAACTGAAGTGAAGCGTTCAAGTTTGCGCAGAGGATTTCTCTATAAAGAGTCATCAGAAGAAAAGTCTACATTCACGTGTATTTAGCTTTCGACGGCTTCAGGGTGATCAGTTTGCTCTGACCCCGGGTGGAGACCCACCATTGCACCTATATGGGTTAAAACTCACAACGAATCTTAATTGAGCGAGCCTGGGAGAGAGATGTCTCACAGTCCCCACTTTAAAGAATAATTACAATACGCGCGTCATTTTCTAAGGTCATTAGTATCTTTCCTCGGAGTATAATATGTAGTATTGATCGTTTATTTAGGCATCAAGACTACCGTTTTTACTTTAAATGAGTCTACTTCAGTTAAATTAATCTCTAAGAACGTGGCCTTTTTACTAGAGAACTTTATCACCTCTCCTTTCTGAGTACAGATACAAAAAAGAGCACATGTATTTTTCTTCATTGATTATATAGCTTATTATTGTTAGTATTCAAAGATTTTAACCTTTTGTACCAAATGAGGTCGGATTTTTTTACTATTCTTGTTAAGTACAGTAATACACAAACCTCTAATTTTCGCTTATATCACCTATCAAGCTTTAAAACACTTTTTCTAGATCTCGGTTTTCGTTGTTGTTCTTCCTGAGAGATCATAAAACAATCTTACGGCGAGATTTAAACATCTTTGTGGTTCATCTGAATGCTATTTCACAGTCGATGATGGTGTGCAACGTGACAACTGCAATTAGTGGTGTCACAATGTACGCTACGGTCTCACACCGGCTGCATATAAATGGTGATGCAAGCCACTATCACGTTGCTCTCAGATAAACAGGAGCTTCGATGACGAAATTCAGTTGATTGGCTGATAGACTAAACCGTAGGAGAGGTGTGGTGATCTTCTGCACACAAGTACCTCAACTTGTTGAGAGGGTGGCACATTATTCAGGGACATGTGAATTGGTACTTTACAGGCTGAAATATGGATGGAAAGATATTAAATTAGTTGTAGTAAACTGCAGTCGACAATGTGTAATAGATGACTCCATCCTAAGCAAACTTAAGTCCTGGTGTAATAGGAGTAAGATCTCTTCGTAGGTGACTTTAATGCACCGTATATAGATTGAGTAAACTTAGAATTAGGGCCATCAACGATGTCGTTTGATTACAAATTATTATAAACTACAATATCTCCAGCTTCATTCCAGAAAATTAGAGTTCCCATCAGATATGACTGAGGAACCTCCCCATTTCTATTTGGCTTGGTCTTCACACCCGTTGATGATATTGGTCAAATGACTTTCCTCCTACCTCCAAAGAGAAGTGATCATACAGTCATCGTATTCAAGTTTATGGCTGAGATAGCCTGTCAAATAGATGTGCCATCCTATTTTATTGAAGGTGAACATCGAGGCGATAAACTCTTCGGCATCGGCTGTAAACTAAATAATTTACTTCGTGGCATCAGTGGTCGATGCACAGACTCATTCCTGGCAGTTATACAATCAGGTAACTCGATAACACATATCCTGTACAGTCCCAAAGATAAAGCAGCACAGCCATTCCTGGATGGGCCGGGATATTTGACATTTACTAGAACAAAGTGTCGAAACGTTACTATCAATTTAAGCACGAAAAGTACTGTTTTTGGGATATTCAGGAAAATATCCCAAAAATTATTCTATTAAGTCTAATGCTATTCTTGGACTTGAGATGGTATCATTTTCCTATTAGTCAATATTTATTTCACGTGTCATTTTCCTGTTGACCAAATATTGTGCGAATGTTATTTTCTATTTTATGGTACGATGTGGTCTGCTTGATTGGTATATAAACAGAGTATGTTTGAAATACATGATTCATATCGCAGAGGCTGAGACTTGTGTTCTGGGCTTGCCTAGCTGGGCTAGGCGGAAAGCAGGACCAACCAGAACTCTAGGCTGCTCATACGGTTTTACGCTTCATTCTTCCGATCGATAATACGCTGACGTCTAGCCTGCAGTCAAGTTATTACAACTACGGTCGATAAGAAATAAACTCATAGTTAAAAATCTGGGAAGTCCAGAGAAAATATGAGGTCCAGTTGGTACAATCTATAATAAAGCACTCTAAGAGACTATTTTCGTACATAAATTACAGAATAAAGATGCAGCCTTGGATTCACAACCTAATTACGAGAGGCAATGGATCTGAAGTGATAGAGTATGATGAGAAAAATGCACAGGCTATAAGAAATAATTTCATGGCAGTTTTCACTCAGGAGCCTCTTCTGGAAGAAGAACTATACCCAAATACAAACCCAACAAACCATCTGCTCACTGTGGACTTTGGCCGAGATGATGTAATCAAAACTCTTAGCACTTTAGACACGGAAAAGTCAACAAGAACGGATGAACCACACCCGAAAATCCTGAGACGGATTGCATAATATATTGCAGCATCACTGACTGGATATTCAGTATATCACTTGGCTAACATGTGTTACGCGCCGACTGGAAATATGAAATCGTCACTCCAGAAGGTAGAACAGGACCAAGACAACTTTCATCAAACTACAAATCTGTCAGCCTTACCAACGCCATAGTTAAAATACTGGAAAGAACAGTTGGAAAGACCGTAATGACGTTCGTGGCAACCAACAACTTGTTAAACGGAGAACAACATGGGTTGATCTTGCACAACAAACCTCCTTGTAGCAAGGGAGCAATCGATGAAGTCTCTAGACAATGGCAAATCAATGTCTACCCAGTCTTCGGGAAAGCATCTGATAAGGTGCCAACAAATAATGTTATTGAAACTAGAAAACATAGGCATTCCCGGACCTCTCATAAAAAAGCTTTAGGATTTCCTAGTGGAGCGTAGACAAAAGTAAAAGCGAATTCGAGGTGCTCCACCTGGTGACCAGTACTTAGTGAAGTACCACAAAGTTCTGTCCCATGTCCTTTACTTTTTACACTGTATGTAAGTGATTTCATGAGTATACTTGGGTTTTCAATGTTACCATAGGCTGATGATGTCAAGATATGGTTAAAAATAATAGAAGATGGGGGTGCATGCGAACTTCAGGCAGACATAAATATTGTGATCAACCGGTATAAAGAATGGCTGATGCTTATCAGCGCGGCGGTATGTCTACATACACTTTGGGGATACAAAGGTAATAGATACAGCATAGAGGAAGTGTCTGTACCCGTGGTTTGGTCCCACAAGGATCATGGGGTGACAGTGAGTCATGATCATAATACCAAGGCCCACTACCAGGAGGTTTCATATAAGGTTTTTGAAAACGATGGACAGTTAGACATTCACCAGGTTAAATACTTCAAAGTTCACTAAAGTATACACAGTCATGTGAAAACTAAACGTGAAAACTGTGTTCAGGATGCAATTCTATGTTTGAAAAGTAACTTGGATAACCTGGAAAATGTACAGATGGAGGCTATCCGTGAAATTCCAGACTCCAGGGTTTACCATAAATGAGCGACTTGAAAAGCTAGACCTTGATGATGTCACAGGTGTTCAGTGTTTGACAACGCTTCTACCAGTAACACCTTCTAATATATTTCGTTCCCACCCAGAGAAATCAAAAGACAGAGTCGAGGAGATCGGAAGAGTGTATTTGGAGATAGCCAATATATCGAAATTCTCTGATCTAATCTGGCTAACGATTGCGGTTGATGTTGATCACGGCGTTACCACACGTGATCTGGTACGGATGCATGACCGAGCGCCTTCAGCTAGATGAGTCCACTAAAACATATGGTCAGCATCCAATGTCGAAAACTTAGAGCTATTTATCTTGGGGAATTATTTACCGCTACAACCTCTTTTCTCTGTCGTACCGCAGATGAAGAGGTGACTTGATTTTGATATATAAACTATTAAGAAATGATTTTGGATATGATATATTCTCTCTTTTCCTTCTCACCATATCCGGACACCTCAAAGTACATGACAGGTGAGTAGAAAAGCTAAGAACGAACATAATAGCGGTGGTATACAGGTTTTTACAATGAGTCACTTATTCTTGGAACTTTCTATCCAAAGTAGTGGTGCTCGCGCCCTCAACTGACTCATTCTAGAGAAGACGAAATATTCACAGAAGCATACTAGAAAAGGAATAACACAGGCCGTTGTTTTTCTATCCTTACTACACAGATCTGGAAACATTTTGCCAATTTATTCTGTTAAAATCTCTTCTCATTTCAACAAAATCGTATATTCCATAAAATTCCTCATTCAATGGGCTCGAGGATGATAAATATTTTTTGATCTTGGAATCTGAATTGAGTTCTCAATAAGTTGTGTTTATCGAGCCTTCAGCCTTGATCTTTAGGTAGGTCATACAAATTCAGGGTCACTCTTATAATGATGATTTCCGGGATCTTATAGTTTCGCAAAGTTTTGAGTTATTTACTGTAGACGAACTGGACTTATTTGTCATATATAGAAATAAATATTTAATGGCTGTTTCGAAATTGGTATTTCTGATTCACAATGACTAGTAATCATAAGCCTTCTGGTGATAACTATATGGATTCGATGTGTATAGGAATTTCAAAAATACTGCATCAGAGTCATTCTGACGAGAATCCTTCATCTGTTGATGTTTCACGTCCTTCAGTTTCTAACGACATCGATAGTGACCCATATTTCCAAATTCACGAGGCTTCACGCACTACTGGAATGTTAGACATTAGTCCGAAATGTATGGTGAAGGATTCTAAACATGGAATTCGTCTTAGTAGTCGAAGACGCGGTTCAGATATCAGCAAAAAGGCTGTCTTTGTCCAACCTCATGATGGAAAGTTGTTCAAAGTTGTGTCAAAACACAGTATGAAGAAAGCAAAACCTCCCGTAAGTTTTGTATAATTTTTGCTGACCCTTTGTTACCCCAGTCCACGTAGACGAAATTTTAAACAACTTGAGATTTCTCATTTTTTATATACATTTTTGTCTGATGGAATGTCGATCTCGACAAATACTTCTTTTAGGGTGGGTAACTTTTACCAACGGCTTTTGCGGCGAGACTAATTTATGGACGAATTAATTAGATTAACGATAACGGGTCTTCGACTCGAAATTCTTTTGTCCATTTGACTAAATAATATCTTAGCGTTTTAGATAATGTCATTTCGTGATGAAAACCCTGAGTCTAATCTCTATCCCTAACCATCAAATTTAAATCGCAATCCATATACTTCACACAGACTTATAACCCTTATTTAGCCCTAATCAGTAGGTGGACATTCTCAAGGCCACTTTTGGTGTCGCTCAAAGGTCGTGCATAAATTATAGTCACTGCTTTTGTTTGCATTTACAAGGTCGTCTGATCATTGACTACGGAAGTATTTTGATAGCTTTGATGGAACGTTTCAAATACTATATCTAATATGTGTTAGACTACATATGTTATATAGGGATCGAATATTTAAGAGATGATGGGACAGGTTCGAAAAGTAGAGATTAAGATGGTAGGAATTCATCATTGTTATTTCTGTAAGGCGAAACCAAAATGGAATCTCCAGAGGTTGAAATGGGCCTTCAGTAAATCCATGTGCGGAGTTATTATGTCTTTATGTTGATATTTACGGGGTAAGTTTGAACAATTACTGTGGTAGGCAACTGGAAGATCAGTGCTGACTACATATTCGACCCTTACAACTGAATTCCGAAATATCGCTTCGTAATGTTACTGATTAGTAGTTAATGTCTGAAGTGTGAACCCGTAATTATCATTTGTAAGTTAGAACTATTTAGTTAAATGTTTACGATGTACTATACTAGGTCCATATATAGTTTTCACTCTAGAACACGTACGAGTCAAAATATCAGATAGACAGAAGCATACACACCGTTGGTACGTTATATGTTTTGCACCTTCGAAGTGCAAAGTACTTCTACAAGATCGATAGGATTCTAATCCTGTTTTCACCCTGGATGGTGAACAGACAAAAGTAGTCGAGAAGTTCGTGCATCTAGGTAGCTGCATAAGTGCTGGTGGTGGCCTGAGTGATGGGATAAATTCACGTATAGTGAAAGCCAGAGCGGCTTATGTCAATCTGGGCCATCTTTGGCGCCTTCGTGATGTCAATCTGGCTGTAAAAGGTCGGATCTACAACGCGTTGGGGAGAGCGGTTTTACTCTACGCTTGTGAAACCTGGCCTCTCCGAGTTGAGGGTGTTAGACGACTCTCTGTGTTTGATCATCGTTGTCTACAAAGGATTGCTGACATCCAGTGGCAACACCATGTTAGTAATCCAGAGGTTCGGCATCGTGTGTTCGCGCACAGAGACGGTAATGCGATTGGTGTCACCATCCTGAAACACCGACTTCGGTGGCTTGGACATGTTCTATGAATGTCATCCCAGAGAATCCCACGTCGTGCATTATTTGTCGACACTGGGACTGATTGGAAGAAGCGGAGAGGTGGTCAGTGTATGACATAGTGTCGTGGTATGAAAGAAAGCTGCAAAGGGCTGGCTTCTGTTGGTCCTTCACGACTCCCTGGCTGGGGTCCGAGAGATGGTGCAACACAGTGGCTAGAGACGTTATCAGATATGGCTCAGAATAGAAGCCAGTGGCGATCCTGCTGTAACCTCCTTTTACTTTCTTCATAAAAAGTGGTTGTATCTTCCTTAACTGAAAGAATTCTTTCTGGCTGTACCTTTCCGTTTCCCACATTATTATTGTTATCAATATTTGTATTATTATCACTACATTACCGTACACTAATCTGTGGTCGTTATTGTTCTTCTTTTTCCCTTTTTTCCTTATACGCACCTTAACTTCTTTCTTCTCTTCACATTCTCATTGTTTTGTGTGGCGCATATATATTTGGTGCCCCCTTGTATCAATATTTATGTGTTCAAATAAATAAATATACACCGTACGACTTAGTAGGGTTGGCGTATTGCTGATGTGTTCTATATTCAGACGAAAGTTTTGTGATTCCTGGCTTCCAGAGTTTATCTAACCAAGACCAATCAATAATACAGACTGGAGAACGATGCATCATGAAGGGAAACAAGGATTAACCTTTTAGATTCAAAGTCTCATAGAGATGAAAAAGTTAAGCGCATCGTTACATCATACTACAATTAGACTTCTTAAATTATGAAAGATATATTTGCATAATATTTTTATTATTTCAGCTGTTATTCCGAAGTTATTTATCCTTCTTGGCATCTCGTCTTTAGTGGCTTGGAACAATGTTCTAGTTCGAGTTATTTCCAACTCAGGAAACATAAGGTAGCGTCCATTGTGTAGAACTGTTAAATTCTGGCGATTATTTCATATCATTTTGTCAAAGCATTTTATCTAAACAGTCAATGCAACCATCAAGTCCAATTTGAGCCTTTCAAAGGTATTGTATAGTATATTGTGAGTCGACGCTAATTTGTGCATTCATGTGGCTATTTTTTCATCATGCTTTAGGCTTAAATCAGATTTTTGTAAAATACCGATCTCTTTGTTTCAGGATATTAGCAAGGAAGTTGCTCAATGTCGAGAGTCCCATAACGACTACCTTGACTTTTCTAATATGAATCTTCAACAGATTCCAAATGCAATTTTCAAAGATTTATCCTTTATAAAAGATTTATTCCTGTATGGTAACAAATTAACCACATTACCAAGCAGTATCAGTCATTTGACAAATCTAAAACGACTGCTATTGCAACAAAACTGGTTAACAGCATCTGGCATACCAAATGAAATAACGAAACTGACTAATCTGGAACAATTAGATCTACGTTACAATCGTTTGGATGGTCCTCTTCCTACATGTATATGTGGTTTATATAACTTGGAACATTTACTTCTAACATACAACAAATTAACCCATATTGTAGACGAAATAAAATATTTAAAAGTGAGTTATTCGTTTCACTTACTTGTTTTTATTGAGTGTAGCTTAACAATTAGTTTGAAAACTAATCTTATGGTTTACCCTGTGGGATTAATATGTGATTACGGACCTCATATCTTATCAGTTTCGGAATGTTGCTATTAAGCGATATAAATAAATTTACATGTAAAGTTAGGTGTCTAAATATTCTGAGCCAAAGTGATTTCTTCCATATACAGGTTATATTATTATTTTTTGGTATTAAACATGTACATTTTGACGATTTCTCATCAATTCATCCACTGCTCAAATATAAAACATTCGCTAATCTCACTCATTTATATATATATATATAACTACTATATGTCCCTTAGTTTCTATTACATACCGTGTGGGGATTCTAGAACTACAAAATCCAAGCTCTGTGTCGTCAGTTTTATCATTTTTTGCTAATGTGTTCGTTCATTAGTTAGTTTCGCAGCATCTTTTCGCTCATTTAACTATCGTATAGCAGTCATAATTTTACTATTAGTTTGATAAGGAAGGACAGTACTGTTGATATTTACTATCAACCAAGACTATGCGTAAAGTTGCAAATTCACACTCATTGTGAAGTTGGTACATACCGTTAACTTTTATATTAATGGGTTGACTCAAACCTTAGTACATAAATCTGCATAGGACTTCTGGGTTCCACAGTAAGATACATTACAAAGTAAGCCAGAATTTTAACGTTTCCGATAAGTTGCCTTATAAACAACATTAAAACGTTGTCATTTTTTCGATATTTATTTGTTCGTTTCAGCGCTTATCTGTATTGGTTGTAAGCCGTAATTTGATTCGACAAGATTTGCCTAGTTCTATCGGTGAACTAACGAAATTGGTAAAATTGGATTTATCCTTTAATCATATCACCTTCTTACCTGACAGTAAGCAATATGTTTTATTTATCCACTGACCAAACGTTTCGCTTAAATACTCTGTCTATAGTGAAGTTTCGTTCTTTAAGCTGGATGCTTCAATTGTGACGCTTTCATTCTTCTGCTGAACTACGTCATCAACACAAAATTCGAGTAGTGTGCCATTCGAATTTATTCATATGTTATTAAGTCTATTCTGTCGACCTCTATCTTAGTTGGTTAATGTTAACTTTTATTTTGTCATTATATGAGCGTTTATTTTGACTGTGTTGCCTTATGGCTTGATTCTTGATGCTATATATTTACATGACTTTATACTTGCTTGATAAATGATTGATAAACTGGATCGATGTGTTAATTGATTGCTGGCTGACCTGAGTCCCAAGCTTCTGAATATTCTTTGGTTTTCAACAAAATACGATCCAAAATGGAGAATGAGTTGATTAACAAACCATCGTTCTTGGATTTGTTAATCGTCAGAACCAACATAGGAAAACCGGAGACTCAGGTGTAGCGAAAGCCCACTTACACAGATCAAACTCTCAACTAAAGTAGCAATAACCCAAGATTTAATGAAGCCAACTACGTACGATCTAATGAAAAGAGCGAAAATAAATGGCAGCCTACTTACAGCACGGAAAAATGAGGAAAAATACCTAATGAGTGTTTTCAATCAAAAGTCAATAAAAACATGACAAAAACCCAATTTATCAAGCGAGTTTGAAGTCATGTAAATATATAGCATCATGAATCAAGCCATAAGGCAACACAGTCAGAATAAACGCTCATATAATGACAAAATAAAAGTTAACATTAACCAACTAAGATAGAGGTCGACAGAATAGACTTAATAACATATGAATAAATTCGAATGGCACACTACTCGAATTTTGTGTTGATGACGTAGTTCAGCAGAAGAATAAAAACATCACGAATAAACCGTACAACTGAGAGAATCAAACTCTAAACTAATCATCAACTCAGTTGCTACTTATTATCTGGTGAATACTTTTGATTCACAGGCTTTTTTCTACCCATAAAATGTTTTTTCATAATTTCTCTACTAGCCATAATAATATTAATGACAAGTTGTGAATCAGTTGACTAACGTTTCCACATTCCGAGATTTTCGCCAAGTTTTCTGAACCACCTAGCGTTAAAAAACTAAATCTTCGTGTTAAGCCATGTCACAAAAATAAGTCATTGATCTTTCAACTTAATCTGAAATAAAGTTAAGGAGGCCAAATCAAAACATGTCGTCAGTCCATAAAGTCACTGACAATTAAACTTAGCCATGTTAATAGGTGAAGACTACTTGGTTGGGGTCCGCGTAATTATCGAAATAAGTGGTTAGAGACTTTGAATGATATGGCTCAGAATCGTTTGCAGTGGTGCATTCTTTGCCTTCCTCCAAATTCTAAGATTTTGAATTCTTCATATCTGTTTTTGTGCTTTTATCTCACTAATTTATATTTTCTTGAATCGTATATTCGATGTCTAGTCTTTTCAGTCAACATTCATACTGTCACGACCTCTACTATTCTGGGATTTGGCCTGATGGTTTGATCTCTTTCTGCTAAAGAAGTACGGCTACTTGAACTGATGTACGTACGTACCAGGCTCCATATTGTGACTAACTTTCAACTTAGTACACCAAAAGTGCGTCAAAATTGCATATTTATTAAGTTAGAGTTCACCTTTCATTCACATCTAAAGCCTTTGATATCTTTTTATAATTAACAGACTTAGAAAATTCGTTGCGAATGCATAATAAAAACGTTTCTCTAAGTTAATTCGAATGCTGTTTGTTAGTCGGTCATAACCTGTATGGAAATATTTTAAGAAGTTTGGTTAATATATCAACCTGATCTGAAATAGAGTTTGCCAAAATCACGTGGCATGCTTACGTTGTATGATGAGTCACTACAAGTGTGGATGTGAAAATGAGAAATCTCGGACGAATGAATTATTCACCGAGATAAAGGTCAACGCCCACTCTAATAGGATGTGGATAATTTTATCCACCTATGAGTTCTACGTGCTAGTTATATTAGAAATAAGGTTTTCTACACAGTTTACTCAGTTCGTTTTGGATTTACTGAACGTGTGCATTAGGAACTGATTCAAGAGCTCGTATCGGAATGCTAACTCAAAAATACACAACATATTAGTGTCATAAATGGTTTACAGACACTTCAGTGATGATTTGTTGCGAACATAACGTGTATCAAGCTGTTAAGATTGAAGAAATTTGCTTGTTTAAGCTTTCTACTAAAGAGGAGGCCACATTAGTTTGAACAAAAACCAGTCACATTAGCCATTCATTTTATACTAATTAATACTTATGTTATACCATACTTTCTTGTCAACTTTGTTAACACAGTTTGCTAGTTTTGATCGTGACAAGGTAAATCAGGATTATAAACTCCTTGTCATCCCAAGCAGTTCTCAAAGTAGATTCTTGTAAAAATAATAAGAATCCAACATCTATATCTTGCACATTCACTCATTAACCATAATATTATATCTAATCAACTCGGTCAGGTTTATATAGAAAAAACTTTTAGTACATAATAAATTCTATATACAATGCGTAACTACTGGTCAGGAGGTCGCAGCGAAAACTAATTTACTTGCAGTGTTTTTTATTCACTTTCTGAAATGAGTTATATCAATATATTTAAGGTGAAGTAGGTCTTGGCTATCATCTGTTCTCATTTTTATATCTATATTTTTTTCAAATTTACGTACAAATTCATGTTCGCGTGCGTTGGGTTCTGTGACCTGAACTCATCCGGATGGAAGCTAGTGCCTGACTACTTGGCTGGGTTACCTGATTGCATTGAATCCAGGCTGCAGGATACTTACTGAACTTTGTGCGATCAAACCATTCATTCATATCACTATATACTGTGTGGAACTATGCATTGAATATAATCTAAACCTATAATAACCACATAGAGTGGGAGTAGCTGCAGCACCATGGTGTTTAATAGTTATGGGCGATTATTGCTGAGTATATTGTTTATAGGACTTAGTTTAGTAATCAAGAAAAGCTGAAATTTGAATAAAGAAAAAAAACCGTCGTGACAGAATAATATGATTTCATCCACTTTGTGAATTCTCTTCATCTGTTTACAACCTTGAAACAGTATTGATTTTTCGAAAGTATATATATTTATGAAAATTACTAAAGTGATTATGGGTATGGAAGAATTATAACAGTTTCCTAACATATGATTATCTACATGTTTACTGATGTACGAATTCGAGAACGAAATCTTAAAACACATAGATAGAAGTTTCTGAAAAACAAAACTACTGACAAAGTTAAGTAGTAATGATCGTTAAAATGAATAGGTTGACAGCGTAAAATAAATAAAGTTTAGAAAGGATGCAAGAATGAAGAAGAGTTTATCATTTAGAGAATAAGTTACTACCCGAAAAGATACTCGAAATATAATGCACTACTATTTTTTGCCTGCAAAGAGCTGAAGATCGTCCGCGAAATAAATGAATTTACACTATTCCTTACGATCGTTCTTGGTTAATTCAAATTTACGTGTATAAGGATTATAAAAAATTTGTCCTAATCTCACGTTACCCCGTCTCTAACTAAATTCATCAAGATTTTTTTTTATAAGCACCTAAATATATTGAAATTTATTGTATTTCAATTTTTACTTTTATCTATAGTTATGTAATCATCAATGTTTAACGGTGTTTTTATATTTTAAAAATTACTCAGGTATCGGAAAGTGTACATCTTTACGCGATCTAAATCTTCAACATAATCAACTGACAAAACTACCTGACAGCATAGGAAATCTGGTAAACTTATGTAGATTATCTATCAAGTGAGTGTTGTACACTAATTCTCCTTTCATTTTGTTATTCTCTTAGCTATCAGTCATTATATTCACTTGTTTATTAATGAATGACATATTGCTTAATACCAAGGTGGTATTAAAAAAATAAACCGTAAAATAAGTAAGAGTTTAGGAAAGAAGAAAGTCGAGTAAACTTAAGAGAATAAAGAGAATTCATTTTACTTTTTCTGAAAAAAAGCCTTAATTGTTACGAAAAATGTAGCAACAGTACACAAGTTTTTCTGTTGGTTCCTCTTATGACCCACTTATATAAAGTCACTAGGATAAATTATTTATAGAGCCCCAGTCTTGGGAGTCTGAATGAACTATTGAGTGTTAGGGAGACCCAATTAATTTTCGTTTTGTAAAAGCTTGTTATGCTTTTTCATTCACTTTAATCACCGGAAATTGGTTCTTAGTATGGAATTTTCTGGGATTTCGTGTATAATATATATATCGAAGGTTCTGAGACCTATGTTTGTAAATGGTTTCACTGATCAGAACTCTATGTTACTTACACGATGCTCTCATTAGGTTCAGTCAGTGATTCGGGGATGACGGTGATCGAATATAGGGAGCCGCCGAGCATTATTAGCTTACTGTGTCCAGCGTTATATATTTCACTCAAAAAAGGCTTTCGAGGGCTACCCAAAATTGCTTTGAAAGCATTGCAAATTGTTTACCAGTCACTGATGTTCGTATATTTACTGGGGAAAAACTCATTGCTCACCTCAACGTAATTACCACTATATGTACTTTATGTGTAAGAGAAGGTATTTTTCTCACCAAATAGGTTTTGTTTTAGTCTCTATGTGAGTGTTCCAGACACTTGATATTGGGTTTGTGAATATTTTCTTCCAACTTTAAGCAAAATTGTATCTCACTATCGTCGCTTAAAGATTTGATGTAAATTACAGGTTGCATTTGTTGCAACCGAAGCAGATGTTTGACTACTTATATCTATGGAAGGACTAAATAAGTAGCAGTACAAATTATCGAGATCTTCCTACGTAAAGTGTAAAATGTGTGGTTATAGACATTGATAACATGGAGTAATCCTCATTTATTGGCAGGTTTGAAGTGTTTGTTGCATTTAGTCAACGACTTGATATTGGATGATTGTCGTACCATACCACGGATTTATTAAGGTTGGAAATATGAACCATTGCATTTCAAGTAATTGGTCTCATGTCTTATTGCTTGGTATATCTTATCATACAATGGTAGAGCCTCTAACCACTGGTTATGATAGTCGCGTGGACCCCAACCAAGTAATCTACATCTACCAAGATAGCTCAAACCAGAAGTTAGTGATATTATGTACTGGTTCCACATTTTGGTTTGGCCGTCTCTAACTTTTTTCTATCCGTCTCCAACACTAATCAGCATTGCACGCCACAGTAGTTTATGGTTGGGCATGCGTAATCTGTGGCCTAACCATCTCAATCGATGAAGATTCGGCACCTCACCAATTGATTTAACATAATTCCCTAACACCGTGCGTCTAACCTCAATATTATCAACCCAGTGATCCGAACAGATGCGAGCAACATTTCTAAGACACCTGTTATCAAATACTAGTAACTTTTGGGTATCTTCCACCATTAATGGTCAAGTTTCGCATCCGTAAAATAAAATAGAACTAACCGCTACTCAGTATACTTATCCTTTAATTGATAGACGGATATATCGCCTTCGTCATAGATGACGTAAGTTGGCAAATATCAAACGAGCTTTTTGAATCCGTGAAGAGATTTCGTCAGAAACCAACCCATTAAAGCTGATCAGGCTTTCAAGATAATTGAAGCTGTCAATGTGATCGACTACTTCACTCTCTATCCTTAGTTCAGGTATTGACACAAGCCAGTCCTGAAGCAACAATTTGCATTTAGAGGGGGAGAAACACATCCTGACATTCTGGCTTAGCGCTACCAAAAGCCTGCATTTTATCTGCGTATTCTAAGTCAATAAATGGACCAGCTAGTATGAGATCAGTTCCCGAAAATTCAGACGATAAGAATGTTTATTTCAGATCTGTGTTGAAATTAAGCAAAAATGGAGCACAGCAGTTAACAACAGCCGAACAAGAACAGAGAAAGTTAAGAAACAAGTTGAATACGTAGAAGCAAACAGGCAAGTGAAGGAGAACATTAGAGCCGACGAGCAGAAACACGTGGAAAAGCTGGCAACGACAACCGAAAATGATGCAAGAGAAGGAAATATGAAACAACTACATGATACGACGAAGAAACTTGACAGGAAGACATAGTAAACCAGAGAGACCGATCAAGAACAAAGAGGGCGAGCCAGTCACTGGAATTCAAGAACAGAGGAGCAGATAGGTGGAATGCATCAAGGAACTGTTTAATAGACCATCTCCATTGGATCCACTGGATATCGAAGCAGAACCTACAGATATTCCTATAGACGTTACTCCAACAACAAGTGGTGAAGAAATTCTGACAATCGGACAAATCAAGAGTGGGAAATCAGAAGGACCTGACAACATACCAGCCGAAGCGGTAAAGTCAGATATAGAAGTAACTGCGAAGATACTCCACGTTCTATTTATGATGATGTGAGCGGACCGAAAGAAGGGTAACTCATCATGATACGAAAGAAAAGAGATCTGAGCAAATGTGAGAACTATGGTGATGTCACACTACTGTCTGTACCAGGAAAGGTCTTCAACAGAGTGTTGCCGACCCAATTGAAAGTTTCAGTAAACACCCGGCTTTCAAGATCAACAAGCTGGATTCCGTAAGGATGGGTCGTGCACAAACCGAATCATGACACTACCGAGCATAGTTGAACAACCAGTTGAAAGGAACGTGTCATGATACATCAACTTCCTTCATTATGAGAAAGTATTTGACAGTGTGGATAGGAGAATATTATGTAAACTTCTTCGACACAATAGAGTAATTGAGAAAATCATCAACATCATTTGGAATTCATACGACGGAATAACCTGCGAAGTGGTGCATGGAGGGCAGCTGTCAGACGCATTCCAAGTAAGGACCGGAGACAGTCAAGGTTGCCTACACTCTCCCTTTCTTTTTCTTCTGATGGTTGACTAGATTATAAAGACCTCGACATGTGAGGGGAAGCACGGAATTCAATGGACAGGTTGTATGCAACTAGACGATTTGGACTTCGCAGATGAACTAGCTCTTCTATCTCATACATACGAACAAATGCAGATGAAGACAACTATTTTAGCAGCAGCCTCTGCATCAGTATTCCTCAACTTACACAAGGCTGAAAGTAAGATCCTGGAACACAACATGGAGAACATCAACCTAGTCGCACTTGTTGGAGAAACTCTGTAAGATGTGGGAAGTTTCACATATCTGGGTGGCATCATCGATGAACGTTAAGAATACGATGCAGGCGTAAATGTGAGGGTTAGCAAAGCAAGGACAGCATTCCCACAGTTGAAGAACATATGCCACTCAAAACAGACTGTCAATCAATACCAAAGTCAGAATCTTCAATACGAATATCAATACAGTTCTAATGTAAGCATCTGAGACTTGGAGAACTACCACAATCGTCATAAAGAGGGTACAATTATTTATAAACAACTGTCTACGCAAGATACTGAATGCTTGTTGGTCTGATACCATCAACAAAAGCCTTTTGTCGGAGAGAACAAACCAGCTTCCAGTTGAAGAGGAAATTAGGGAAAGACTTTGGAAGTGGATAGTACACACATTGAGGAAATCATCAGACTACATCTGGAGGCAAGCGCTAACTTGGAATCCTGAAGGGAAACGGAAAAGAGGAAGGCCAAATAACACACTGCGTCGAGAATTGGAAGCAGACATGAAAAGGATGAATAGCAAGTGGAAGAACTGGAAAGGATTGTACGGGACATAGTTGGATGGAGAATGTTGGTCTATGCCTATGGCCTATGCTCCTCGAGGAGGGATAACATGCGTAAGGAAAGTAATATATAGATATAACAGATAGGTTTTTTCTTTTCTTTTAAAGATATAACCAGTTGGTGGAAATTCCGGCAAGTCTAGCTAACTGTGTGAAACTTGACGAATTTAATGTGGAAAACAACCAATTGTCTTCACTTCCTGTAAGTCAATGACATTCATTTTATTGTTTATATTTAAGAGTGTAATATACATCCCATTGATGTGTATGGTTTTCGCAAGTCATCCCATAAATAATTTTCTCTGTTTCTGATTTGTAGTTTGTGCATGTTCTATTGAAAGCTTTTCATATTATCGCCGTATATATGTATTTTAAGATGATTATAATAATAACTGTTTGCTGTTAAAATTAGAGTCTTATTTACGAATTTATTGTTTTATTTATCTCTCCAACAGAATAATTTACTATCATGTTTACATAATCTACTAAATATCACCCTGTCAAGAAATTATTTTACAAACTTTCCCTCTGGTGATCCACAACAATTTCAGATGTGTTATGTAAGTTATCTTTTGTTATCACTACTGGTATTAGTAATAGTCCAAATAATGTGTGTTCTTACTCACCTATTTACTTACGACTGTTACACCTAATGGAACATAGGTCATTGACTAGGATTATCCAACCAACTCTGTTCTGGGCTTTCTAGTTGTCCGTAAGCTCTATTCATTCTTTTGATGTCTCCCTCCAATTACCGGTGCAATGTGTTTCTTCGTCTGCCTTTTTTCCTTTTACTCCGAGGATTCCAAGTTAGGGCTTGCCTGCTCATACAGTTTGATGAATTTCGTAATGTGTGCTCTATCCACCTCCAACGTTTTTTCCTTATTTCCTCTTCAGATGGGTGCTGGTTTGTTCTCTGCCATAATAAGTTGTTGCTGATAGTGTCCGGCGAACGAATCTGGAGTATTTTATGGGGACAACAGTTTATAAATATCTGTTTCTTTTTTATGATGGTAGTAGTAGTGTACTACCAAAACTAGCTAATTAGGATAACTTTAGTATCCAGGTATGTAGAATCAACAGGATATTCGACTATTTATCATTTAGACAATGGTTTTCATCAATGAACTCAGTGTTGAAAACGTGATTAGGTCAACTGTATGTTTAGAGTCCTGAAATATATTCCGTGATTCTATCTGTTACACACAAGTTTTTACATCTTCCTATTTATTATTAAACTTTTTAAAAATATTTTATTGATCTCAGAACTGTCAGTAAGATTACTGCAGTTTATATGTTAGAAAAGTATTCGTACATATTGTATTGTATTTGCATCCTCTTTGGAACTCGGTTAAGGAATTACAATAAGGTGAATATTTTTCACATTTCGTATCCTATTATTAATGTTTATATTTATAATTAACCCGTTAAAATTCATAATTTGTAAATTATACAACTAGCCGTGAAACTTTTTGGAAATATGCCACAGTGTTTATGCATTTTTTTTAGGACTAACGGTTTAAAGATTTTCGTTTAATTTATTACAGTTATCAGTAAGCTCCATCCATTGCACTCTTTCAATGAGTTATTGAATGCATAATTTTTAGATTGTTTAACAATGATAGGATAATTTTTATTGATGAATTAAGTGTACTGATTTTTTTTAAAACCTTTTTTAGCAATTGGGATTAGTAATAATTAATCGTTGTATAATCAAGTTTTTGAGGAAATACTTATTTACAGTAGTTTCTTACTACGCTTTAGAAGTAGAATTTAAAATATCTATTCAGAATTATTTAGCCTTTGTAATTAGTAGAACTTAGAAAACTGGTATATGAATTGTAATTTTAAAGTCTGATAAATACAAACTACCGAGGATATGTATTTATTTAGAATTTGTTTTCCTAATTATCACAATCAGTCAGTCATGCAGAATAAGAGCAGTGTTACTTTAAGCCCTCTATGATCGCAATAACAATGAAATTTTATATATGTGTGCCCTTGGAACCATCTGTTATTCTGGATCGTACTATTGACATCTAACTGAAGTATACTGTAGCTGTATTTCAAAATGTCTTATCAGCAAAATAAATGAATGAAAAACATTGTATCAGTACTCGGAAGAATTATCTTATTTGTAATATGTTAAAAGCTGGTAGCTATGGCTCAAATAGAAATAATTATGGAGAGTAATATAAAATCTCGTTGATCAAAAGAAATCTTCGTATGCATAATTGGGATGTTTGTGTGCCCACTATGTTCCAATTTTATCAATAATATGTCCAAAAAAAACTACAAAGAATCCAACTAACACTGGTATTTCTCATGTGTTAAAACAATTGATAATTACTCTGTAAAAAAGTATTATTAAGGAGCTTTCAGGTTGTCATTTAGTTGGTGGTGATAAGCAACGTGAAACCCGGTACAAATATGCATCAGTCCGATTTATTACATCAATGCTACAGAGAGATGAAATTATAAACACGAATACAATGATGAAAGTAGCTGTAAAATCAGTGGTAGCTAAAAGATGTAATGTGAGTTTGAGTTTGGTAATTTCATCTAACGTGCGTTCGGGTAATTCTTATATGCTAACTGGATGAACCGCATGATTAATACACTGTTATTCCTTCGCACTATGGAATATAGGGAAGAGAAAACTTTTAAGGAATATGTATTGATGAAGACCTTGAAATAATCGATTTACACTCAAGTTTATTCAATTATATATCGATTCTTCAGTGATTATTAATTACTAAATCTGTCAGACTGAGGAGTTGTCAGTTAAGCAAAAAATCACAATGAATTTTTCAATGCAATGAAAACGTCGAATAACTAATTTTGTATTGAATAAATTAATAGAACTGAAAATTCATTCATTTTGTATATTTTTTAAAAATCTTCCTATTGACGTTTAGGACTGCAGTTGATCAGTCTCTTATTAGCATACATGCATCCTGTGCTAATTGCCTGGAGTCACAAGCATGAGAAGCAAAGGTGGATGGTGGCTAGCAGTGGCATCATTTCGTCCTATTTGGGACTCGTCAGCTGGATGTACCTGTATTCCAGAGTTGATGTTCACTCCACCACCCATCTTTGTTCCCAATGCTTGTGACTCAAGGCAATATCGAGGCAATCCGCATAGTATGCATATATACCAATAAGAGACTAATCAGTTGCAATACTAAACATCAATAGGAAGATTCAAACAAACAATACAAAATGAATTTACGTTTCACCCCATTGCATAAGCTAATGGCTTTAAGGACTCAGTAGGTAAGTGGGTAACGCGATGGTGTTTGAAGCAACTGGTAATGGGTTCGAGTCCCGGAATGGACACCATCTCTGGGATGCAGGTACATCCAGCTGACGAGTCACAGATAGGACGAAACGCACGTCCTGGATTTCACTGCTAGCCGCCATCTATCTTTGCTGAAAATTCATTGTCACTCAAACAAAAACCAGTCAAGATGAATCATTACTGAAAGTTGCCGAACAAATATCACTGTAAAACAGTCTGTGAATTTCAAAATTGTATTTTTCCGAATGTTGTATTTCGGGGTTTAACGTCCCCAATAGAAGGTTGAAAACAGAAAATCGAGTTCAAGAAGAATAGACGAATTTACAAACTGAAACTATGAGATATTGAAATTCGGGATCAAGGGATAAACTAAGAAAAGATCTGTGCTACTGTTAATGATCTTGAATCTGCAACAGTTAGTCAAATTGTCGTTTGGACTCCAACCAGATAGTCTGGTAAAACGGCTCAAACCAACAGCCAGTGACTAAGAATCAATACCAGTTCTTGATTTGGCCGCCCCTAGATTTTCTACGACTTACGCCTATATCACATAAGATCACACGTCATGGCAGATGGTGTCTGAGTATAAGTTATGCATGTCCTAGTCACTTTTCAATCTACAAACCACCACCTCTTACTCTATGTTGAACCTCAACATCACTCACTCGGTTGTTCTACAATAAACGAATCAAACCCTAAATCACCGCCAATTTAGAACATTGATACTAGGTAATAACAATCAATATAACTCTTCAGTTTTTGAGATATCGTAACCTCACCAAGTAATTTACTATCTTTGTCAGTAATTCTGCTCAGCGCAACAATCAGCTACTCAGTCAACGATTTTACAGTCTACGAGCAATCTTTTGAACTACATTATATTGTCTTCTAGCAACCAGCGTCTGTCTTACAAATAAAATAGTGATTGGTACCATAAAATATTTATAAATTCCCAACTGTAAAAGGGCAATGTAATTTGATTCAAAAAACCTCTCTTGTGTTGTAGAACTATTAACTGAGAAATTAGTTCATCATCACAATGGAAATTATTGATTATTACTTTTTGTGAAGACATCCATCTCACATTTTTGTTCACTCCATCTCCTTCAGCGATTAACTTATTAAATGTGTCAAATGTGTACAGTTCATCTTTTACAATATATTGAATAGCTTGTTTATTATCATCACTCTCTAAAAAGTCTGAATAATATCTATGTTCCATGATGGAGTTTGTAACAGGATTTTCATGAATGTATCGGCCTTCCTAAACTCTTCAAAGCTACTTAGTCTTCTGACATTCGAAAAAAATAATAACTGAATTATATTCGAAGGAATAAAACATTCTGTACAGTTTTTTTTAAGAAAAGATAAATTAGAAATTGATTGTTTTACTTTAATTTTGTAAGTTTAATTACGTTATTTAAATGATTTCTAATTATGAATCACAGTTGGATTTAGTAAACTGGTATTAAACACATCCATATTTCTAGTTGAATGAAATTTTAACTAATGAATTCTACTTTCTACTACATATCATCATATTAACATAATAAAAAATGTCAATATCTTTAGCAAATTACAAATGACGTTGATTATGATTGTGTAGTTAAAAAGTGATATGACTTGTGAAATTGTTTCTCCTAACAACAATAAAAAATTGATTAAGATATTGTAAAGTGTATAGTCTTTCATGGTTAAGTGTACCATAGTCGTATTTTCTAAAATAATTTCTTTACTGTTTGACAAAATTTCAAAAGAATTTATTTCAATCATAGATCTGGGACTGACTAGCTCGTTTAATACTTCATAGTAGTTGTTTGAAAAACAAGGTTCTGATCTTATCTAAAATCTAGTGTTTAAGTAATAATATCAATTTTTTCCCTCTAAATGTACGATTTCTGAAACATTTTAAACTAAATAAAATTTATATACATACATATAATATACCAGACGATTTATCAAATTGTTTCACCTTTTTCCTTTTTGTTTAGACTATCAATATGGATCATAATGAAATTACAAACATTCCAAAATCTGTATTTAGTTTGGCTTCAAATTTGATTAAATTAAATTTACGTGATAATGCATTAGACAGTTTAATTGGTCCAGGTTAGTTAAATACCGTCCCAGTTTCATTTTAAAGTGTCTAGATAAAATAATAATAATAAATAGTGGTTTTGTAGTAACTGTTTATTTTTCTATAAATTAGTAATAAGACCACTATTGCATTTGCACTATCGTTTAGTTTTAAGTTAACGTTAATGATTTACTAAAGTATTGAATTTTGCATAAGTTTCTCAGTATATGCGCACTGTTGAGGAGTCCCATACTAGGACGAAACGGCCGTCCAGTGCTTCCAGGTTTTCCATGGTGGTCTTGCTTCAACTGACTCATGATTTCAATCTGTCAAAATTTCTAAAATCTCCACGAACCCCTTCTGATAATTAACTAATAGTAAATAATAATTGATCCTCTAAGCTACTTGTTCATTTGTTATTTGAATATTCTCTTCATTAAATTTATTTACTTAGACTTACATGAATTAAAAACCTTAGTTGAACTGGATTTGGGCTCTAATCATTTGACAGAATTACCTACGGAAATCAATAAACTTGTTGCTCTTGAAGTACTACGATTAAACTATAATCAGTTAACTGTGAGTTGTTTTAATTATATTTACCTTTTTTTCTATTTCTATTTTCCGGTTTACATATGAAAATATATAAATTTTAATATTATTTGTTCTGATAATAACGTATGCTAATGAATTTGTTCATCACTATTTCTTCTTTCTAATTCTATATCCTTTTGTTTGATGTGTATTATTGACACAATAGTTCAGCGTTTTCACTAAGTTGAATAAAACGATGTTAAGGTTTACACTGTAGTTTCTGATTTTGCTAGCTTTGCTATAGGTTATCATTGTTTAGTATTTAATATATATATATATATATATATATATATATATATATATATATATATATATATATATATGCGTTCCACTTCACCGTTCGATTCCTATAAGAGCTATGATAATGCTCGAGCGCCCAAACCGAAACAGCTGGTTTACATAGACAGGCCACTCAACAACCCTTTGACACAAACGTCCAATCATCAACACATGGTTGGAACAACGTTAGGAGATGCAGTCATATGGTAGTCGATGACCAACAATAGGTTCATACACCATTTATTCCATCAGGATCCTCCAACCCATGTATACTATTGGTTTAGAATCAGGGTTTTCCAATTCTCCTAGGTAGACCCTCCGTGTTCATTAACCCGGTTAGAGCACCGGGCATTCGCTTTGTGTCCTCTCAACTTCGTAAACAACACGTGTGCAGCGAGAAGACAGTGAGTAGAATTTCTCTGACAGTGGTTGTATACGCGTACCTATGTGTGTGTATTTGGAGAGGGATGATGATCTCTCCCCACCTTTGACCTTACCAGAACTTTTTGGGGCTTCATCAACGTAACAGATTAGAACATAAGATATCAAATGCAGGTTGTGCTGTAAAGTTCTGTTTAGTTCATGTAGCAGCAGAATTATTTTATCGAATAGTTTATTCTGTTGTTAGACAAATCAAAGTGAATCGTCCAACTACTTTTCTATTGTAATGTTTAGGTTGGTTAATGGTTTTAATAATGTTTCATGTTCATTCGTTTGATCAGTTTCATAATTAATTCAAGTCATAAGATAACTTATTCTTCATAATGAGATCACTTTCAAAACCGCACAAGTAGACATATATATATATCATTATTCTAAAAGAAACATATTTTTTTATTGTCCAATAATTATTACACTTATTGTTATCTTTTCGTTATTGACATATTTGTAAGTATCGACGCTATGGTTGAAAGCTAATAATAAATATATTTTCGGGATATAACCAAAAATATATTTATCATTAGTTTTTCGTTAGTTAATCCTGTTGCTCTAACCTATTCTTCATAAAAGGAAAATTTTGTTTATTTAAATATTCGTTATTATGATGTGAGATGGAGTGTTGCTATTTCTTGATCTTATAATTTCTAAGCTGAAGTAACTAATTTCGATCCCCACTTTCTGTGTTTTGTAATAATTCTATTCATCATCTATCCAAGCTAAAGAAGGCAAATCAGAATGCGAACTTGTCTTAAACAGATTCATCAACTAACAACCTATAGTTATCATAGATTCTATATTATGTACTTATTTCTTGCATCAATAAATCAGTCACCTTTCTTTATATTAAGCACTTTTCTTTTTCTAAATTGTATACTTACACATTTTTAGATGTTAGATTAAATTGTATTATTCTTTAAATGAACCATTTCTTAATATTTGAATTATTATTATTTATCTATTTGAACACATAAATATTGGTACAAAAGTGAGCCAAATATATATGCGACACACAAAACAATGAGAATTTAAAGAGAAGGGGAAAAAAAGTAACAAGCGTAAAAAGATGGAGAACAATAACGAAGAGATTGGTGTAAGGTGGTGTAGTAGTAATAATGATAGTAATAGTGGGGGAACGGAAAGGTGCAATCAGAAGAAACCTTTCAGTTAAGGAAGATACAACCACTTTTTATGAAGTAAAAGAAGGTTACAGCAGGATCACCACTAACTTCTATTCTGAGCCATATCTGATAACGTCTCTAGCCACTGTGTTGCACCATCTCTCGGACCCCAGCCAGAGAGTCGTGAAGGACCAACAGAAGCCAGCCCTTTGTAACTCTCTTTCATACCCCGACACCGTGTCATGCACTGACCACCTCTCCGCTTCTTCCAACCAGTCCCAGAGTCGGTAAATAATGCACGACGTGGGATTCTCTGGGACAACTTTCGTAGAACATGTCCAAGCCATCGAAGTCGATGTTTCAGGATGGTTACACCGATTGCATTATCGTCTCTGTGCCTGAACACACATTGTAATTTAAAAATCTTTACTCAAATTACTACTTTAAGTAATAATGTTTTTCTATTCACATATCTACATGTGTATTGAATTCATGATGTCATCTACTTTGAGATTTCTAGTAGGAATAATTCTATTAATAGAATTATTCATTAAACTAAATTTAAAAGAATTACTCAACAAATTAATTTCTTTTTAAAGTGTAGATTCTTACCAAATGCTCTGTGCTGTTAACGATTGTGATAAAAACAATTTTTAATTTGACTTGTCAACGATGAAAGTATGCAGAGAAAATATGTGAACAATAAGAGAAGTTTGTCACCCGAATATATATATATATATATATATATATATATTACATTGATAGTGTAGCGTTTATTTTTATATTGACTTCTGTAATAGAATAACCATTTTATAAAGGAAAAAGTGTTCTATATAGGATTTACTAATAGTCAAATAATTTCATATATGAGTTTTGGTATAGATTTCTATTTTCTGAAAACATTTTCAGATTTTAATTTTAGCTATTGTATAAGTTGATTTAAACAAAAATGTCATATGACTACTCCATATGATTATTGTCTATAAAATTATCATAGCTACCACTTCATTTTGCTTTAGATTGCTTCAATGATTTCTTTTTCTACTCTTAACTATATATATATATATAAATGCGACTTAAATAATGAGGAATCTGTTTGTTGGTACCATTTGTTTCGCATTCTGAAAAATGAAAACTGCTTTATATACAGTTGTATTTATGAGATTATATATATATATGGCTTAGTGGTTTCTGTCTTGTTATCTCTTTGAAGTAAAACTTATATCTGATAATTTGACAAGGATATTTTAAATCGGTTGTTTGTCGAAAACATTGATTTTTTCTTGATGTCGAATCAATACTTAGTAAAATCAAGAGTTTTGTCCTGGTACGGTCGAAGGTGGGGAGAGATCACCATTCCTCTCCAAATACACACACATAGGTACGCGTATACAACCACTGTCAGAGAAATTCTACTCACTGTCTTCTCGCTGCACACGTGTTGTTTACGAAGTTGAGAGGACACAAAGCGAATGCTCGGTGCTCTAACCGGGTTAATGAACACGGAGTGTCTACCTAGGAGAATTGGAAAACCCTGATTCTAAACCAATAGTATACATGGGTTGGAGGATCCTGACGGAATAAATGGTGTATGAACCTATTGTTGGTCATCGACTACCATATGACTGCATCTCCTAACGTTGTTCCAACCATGTGTTGATGATTGGACGTTTGTGTCAAAGGGTTGTTGAGTGGCCTGTCTATGTAAACCAGCTGTTTCGGTTTGGGCTCTCGGGCATTATCATTGCTCTCATAGGAATCGAACGGTGAAATGTGACGCATATATATTTGGTGCCTCCTTGTACCATGTACATGTGTTTAAATTAATAATGCTGAATATGTATTAATTACTTTACATCACATCGACTGGAATGTTTTGATCATATTTGGAGATGAATGTGTAACCTTTTGGTAAAGATCAACGTTATTATGTAAAGTTCATAAGAAATATTAATATAGTTAATCAATTCTAGTTATCTGTCTTGATGCGTTTTTCAGTTTTCTTTACTAGACTATCCTCAAAGTTAACCCTAAAATAATGGTTTGTTTGAATGATTCCTATCGTTTTTCCTCATTTATTGCATTTTAACTGATTACATCTATGACATATCTAGTCTGAAGATAAGTTTTGTCAGACGTTGAGATTAGTTCAAAAAGCGTGCAAACTGAATTAGCGCTTTTTAAACATATTTAGAAACCTTTCGACAACATTCATTTACGACTTTTCACGAATTGGAACATAGGTCTTCCCAGTCTCATGTACTACACTATACAATCACTTTGTTAGAATTCAATAACTTCTAAATTTAACTGGTGAAATGTTAAAATCATAATGCATTTGTTAGTTAACTGAACAACACAATACAAGTGCATATTAATATTTCGTTTCAACGACATATGTAAATATTTTCTTATTGGTATCATTCTACTAAGGCATTGAGACTAAATTTATATTGCGTTTCTCGGAAATTTCGTAGATTTACGGCGTCATTAATAAAAAAACAATTTTAGTAGATTATACTTAATGCTTTTTCTGATCAAATCCATTAAGCTGTTTCGTTGTCACTTTTGTCTAGGTAATCTTGTCTGATTTTATATATCGTGAAACGCCGTCTGCTCTCAGCGCTTTACACACTTACTTCCTAGTCAGTTGAAATGTTTAATTCTTGGACCCCAGTCGGAAAACAAAATTTCTATAATCTCAAGGGCAAACTTCGAAAGTTGAATTATGTACAGAATTTCCGTGATTATAAATGTCCGTAAAATACAAAACAGCTCCATTCTTTCGACAGATTGTGTAATAACTTGTTCATATTGAATTATGCGTCATTTAAGTTAGCCACATTATTATATTCTCATAAGGTTCTATCTAGAATTCAAATTTAGTTTGCTAAGATGATATTTGACTCACATTAATTCTCTGTAAAAATTCATTTAACAACATGATATATATATATATATATATATATATATATAGGGAAATGGATGAATCATTGAATCCATTTAGTGACTATTATTAAAGCTAGCAGAATGAATATATGCGTAGGTGGTAAGCAATGCTCAAGCATACATATTCGTACAAGCACAAGAATAATAAGATACAATGGTATAGATAAATTATTGTATGGATGACTCGGTCCGTTAAATAAGTTAGCAAAAGGGCTTAACCAAATTAAATGTGAACAAACTCAATTGCACGTGAGCTGCTATTAGGTAAATTAAACAGTATTTATTATAGTAAATCCTACTATTAGACTGAGATTTGTATATCTTTTCAAATTAAACTTGACTATCGAGGAATCTTCATCTATTGTCATTGTTTAGTTAGTGATTTATTCATCCCTTAGTTGAATTTACAGGTTATGACCTGTTACCAGAACTTCAAAAAATTCATTGAGATACTAGTTGCCTGTGTATAATAGACACGTGGTAATTTTTTTAATGATATGGTTTTATTGTGATTATTGTGTATTTTTACAACAAGAGCAAATAGAACATAGTTTCATGATACTAGTACAATCTATACTTAAGAGTATATAGTGTTTGTTCGTTTTGTTCTTCATAGATGAAATAATTCATTAGTTGTTCATTTTACTGATTGATTTTGCCTTTGTTTAATAGTTTCTGTTATATCCTAGCGAAGATTAAGTTATGGGTAACTTCTGAAAACTATTAATGGACTAATATTATACATATATTCTTATTGTATAACTATTGAGTAACTCGAATATGTATATTTACATTCTTATTATTATAAGCTTTCATTTGACCCATAGACTGTTATTATACGGTTTACTATTCTTAAGTTATTACTAATTTATTAGTTACAGCCTCGCACACTCACAGCCACTTTTTGGCTTGATCTTGCATAATTGTTATTTTCTATTTTACGGTATGATGTGGTCTGGTTTGTTTCTATATAAACCCAGTATGCATGAAATAAATGATTCGTACAATAGAAGCTCATATTGACGTGCTGGACTCAACAGACAGGGCTGGACAGAAAAAAAGACTAATAAGGACACTAGGTTGTTCATACCGGTCAGTACGTCATTGTAGTGGCACAGTGTAAATGTCGTATTCTGATTGGTGATCATATCACGTGATAATTAGCCGGGCAAAAGTCACAACAACGGAAATGAACACTTCACAAATACTTTTTAATCTGGTTAGCGTTATAATAAATTAATCTATGTGTGTCTTTTAACCCGTAATATTTAAAGGTTTTCTTTTTTCTCATATTTTGTCTAAATCATATCTGTAATATATAAAATACATCTCATAGTAACTTGACCTATACATCAAACTATGAATGGATTCACTGTTAACCTAACTTATTGCTTAATGTATGTAATACTTTGGAAAAAAAAGAGAAAGCACTTGATAAAAATTTGTGTCATCAATTTATCATAAGATTAGCTTTGATTGTATAAATAGTGATTAAATTATACAAACTGTATAGTCTTTGTTCACCTTTTTTGATTGATTAGCGGTATGTGTATATGTATTTATGTGTGTGTGTGTCCATTCTCTTAAACTGTATTTATTCCACTGGTCTCTTTTTTTTTAAATACAAGACAATTAAAAGGAATGAACTGTTTGCTGTTTTTTTCTTCTTTTATTCGTCTGTATATCTCATTTCAATCATTCAATTATTTATTTATACTATACCAAAAAGAAAGAAAGAATTTATTTATAGCACACCTACTTAAAATAAACAGATTGATTCTCTGTTTGTTTGCTTGGTAACTGAACGTGATAGAAAATCAATTGGAAATTAAATTATAGTAGATAATTTAGTACAAATAAGAACCTTTTGTTATATATGCCTATATTATAGTGTACTTGTGTTGATTGTTATTTCAATCTCTCTATCTCTTTCAATGGATTCTTTTTATCTACTACATATTTGTACATTCGTATTTGAAGTCTTTACCTGATGAAATTACACAATTATCGAAACTACGTATTCTGGATTTGGAATCAAACTTATTGGAATCTTTACCAAATGATTTATCAGGTTTAACATCATTACAAGAATTAAATGTTCTATGTAATAGATTAAAAACATTTCCTGCAAGTATTGGGTAAGCTTGTGACATTAATTGTTGTAATTATTAAACATATATATTCTTTTTAGTAGTGAAGGTAATGGTAGTAGTATTCATTTCATTTTAACGAAACTTTATACTTTCTTAATCGTTTATGCTCAAAATAACAGATCATACATATTGAAATGAATTTCTTAGTTAATGACCTCTATACACCAACTGTAGAAAATTATTGAGCATTACTCAAACACAACAGACATCGGATACAGATACATACATATGTGGTCATTTGTCCATAAATGTTAATTTCCAATATTCAATATAAAATACACAGACAGTTGCCATTGTACTAATAAATGCTATACGGCGATTAACGATACATGAATATGTAATACAAAAGGTGGAGATTAATTGTAATTTAGTTGTATAAAAAATGACTGATAAGTCATATATGTAAAAACTAATAATAATAATCTCTTAAGTATATATGTTATACATAGAAGGCTGTTCTTGATATACCGCGTATAATGTGAGCACTAGAACGCCAGAACCCTTCCAAGTCGCAATGAGAAGACAGAAGACTAATGAAAGGAATATTATTCCCCGACAGTGTCAATTATAGTACAAAATTGTTAGGTATTTATAATTTTTAATAAGAACGAAATCACCATTACAGTCCTCTAATCCGCATACAGGAGGTTATTAGCATTGCCCAATAGGGGGCTACACGTTAAATTCTAGAATATTCTTCTGAAAGGTGATTGGATGGAATATCTTCCGCTCCTTCTGAGCCTCCTACAGCTTCCTCGAGTTCACCCGTGGTCTGTCGTCACAATATAGGATATTATGTCCAACCGAAAAACGAGCTTTCTAAAATAGTAAGCTGTAATCAGTGAATATAATACAAACTGAGAGGAATGTTATATCGAACTAAGCTTATTTCCTTTATTAATAGTCCAACCTAAAAGTAGATTAAGACGGATCCTAAACTTGCCCATATAAAACACTTAGAAGGAGATAGCTATAATATGAAATCAAACTTAATAGTTTACTTAAGAGTGAATCGATCTCATATAACAAACAAAATAGTTGAATATAGTTTTTTCAATACGCAAATCGAATTTCTTAGCATTCGTTCTTACAACGCCCATTATGCATAAATTATAAAACTTATGATCCTCAATAAAATGTTTCACCCTTTTAATACAATGTTTAATGTTAACCAGATAAGAATAAAAATGGCCTCATTTCATCGAGTTGATCAATATTTCTTACTAGCCAATTTGATAAACATTTATGAGCATACAAAAATAAAATCAGCTGGTGACAGACAGTATTCTATAAGATTAATTAGAATGATGCACATAGAATATTTATCCTAATCTCACTGTGGGTAATTTTTCCTCAAGTCGATTTATCATTACTAATCTGCTAAGAAACGGTCAGACAATTTACATACATGAAGTCTGCTTCCAAATGGTAAAACGTGTATGCATATCTAAGTGATCATATTCACCTTATGCTATCGATCATTACAAATCTTCAGCATTGTAGAATATACACACACTAAGTCATGAATGACTGTCGTTGTTTTTTAAATAAAAAATAGACAGTCTGGTGTAGAATTTCACTTCTCTTTTAATAGGTCCAAGTTTACGCCATTCTTAAAGGTAATCATAATTTGTTAACTTCTAATCACTTACCATGTGTATAATAATGGTCAAATTTTGAAAGTGATGGCAAATTTATAAACTGTTGTACCCAGTCTTGAGAAAAATTTTATTTTCTTAGACTGGGACACTTTGAAAGTTCGGACAGTTTTATTATTTTTTAAAAATAATTAATACTGGAACCCAGAGTTCACCTTAGTTTTCTACATAACATTATCGTCAGTATTATAGTATTACTACAGTATTACTCTATAGTATTGTAATCTGATGAGTAATTCGACGCTTTAGAGATAGATGCTACTCACTCTTCTAATATTGGTCGTTATACAATCGATTCAGTCAACCTGGGTATAAATATTTCATATGTAAGGTATAGAACACATTCTCTGCGCATTGTTATTCGTCATACTTTATAGCTAGTATAAGATAGCATGCAATTAGATGATACTACCACTTACTTTTTGACGAACACCAACCAGTACGACGCCTAAATTTTTAATATCCTGTCGACCACCGCCAACTGACTAACGCTAATTTACGCTTAACATAATAATAACAATTGATAATTATTAAACGTAATTCGAGTTTTATAAAATTGGATAATGTACAAAGAGAACACCAGTAATCAGTTAAACAAACCAACAGGTGATTTGAGCTACCGACAAAGCCATGTGTTAATAATAAAATATGAAATATACTTCTAAGGAATGGACTTATTGGCGAAATCAATTTTAGAATATTCTGAGAAGTTAACACTCGAAAACTTCAAGAATTAACACTTAAACGAATTTGAAAATGTACATTTACACAGCATCATCTTCTTTCTGGAACACTAAATGACCCTGATGACTGGATGTATATTTTTTCAAAGAATATCTCCTATTAGATTTGAAATTGTCATTACCAACATATATCTCTAATAACCGTTTATCTTCCCACTATTTATCTATCGTTTCTTTGTTTGCTTTGCTTTACATCCCTATAGACAACTTACCAAATTGAAAGTGATTATGGCCGGTGAAAATGACATTACTGATATACCTGTTGAAATAGGTAAGCAAAATAACATCACACATATTGTTTTTTCATTCTAAATTCTTAGCTTAAATTAGTTTATCCACGTGACTGTTTTTTTTAGTTCTCCAAGAAAAAATCTACAATGTATATGGTTGTTTTGCAACAACTGATATGGCAGTAATAAATATTCTATTCAATTGAATCGACTATTATTATTATTATTGTCACATGGCGCATCATGCATTTTCTTCAGTTATATCTTTCTCTTTTTAACTAAGAAGCTTTATACTTGATGAGTTTTTATGGCTTAGAATTGTTCATTGGTTGATTTGTATCAACGGTAATTAATGTTTGATTTGTTAGTAAATACGTGAATATAAACAGTTGAAGTTTGTACAATTGATTTTGACCCCATAATTTTTGTTTTAGTGGAGGAACTAGTGATACTTACCATTATAGTAGGAAGACAGGTGAACTGATAATAGTAAGAATAATAAAATACAATAACAAAACTCTTATTAATAGTTAATCGTTGGAAATAGAAGGTCAAACAAACATGGGTAAATAGACTAGGAATAGTAATCACAAAACATTAAAATCATTACGTAATTTATTTTCAAATGAACTTTTATTTGGTTGACCTTTATTATTTTTCATATTATTTTCATACTTACCATTGTTATTTACCTTCGATAAAATAGATACAGTAGGATCAAAACCTCTACTACCCAATAACAAAATCTAGGTTATCACTTTAACAACAATTTGAAAGACACCAATAGGAAAAGTTAAGCCGAAATTTGACATGTTTTACGATAATCCATATGAAAAACTTTAAAATGATAGGCAACAAGAAAATCACTTATGAGAACATGAATCCTCAATCTAGAATGATGTTCAAAATAATACAATGTTCGGTATTTATCGAACGATAAATAATTAAATGTATATGTTCCATTATGACACATTTTAAGCCATGTTGCGTAAATATTTAAAACCAGATTTACTTTATTTTCTCGTGAATGTCTATTCTTTTCTGAACGACTCACATCATTTCAAATAGTAATCCATTCGCGTTGTCTAATATATAGTAATCTTTTTCATGAGCACGAATAACAAAATTAGAACCAATGGTTTTATTGTCTATAAGTTTTCAGATTTAATTACGAACACCATTTTATTGTGCTTCATTAATTGATTGATGTATAAATCTAAATCAGAACAAATTAGATTTATGATCAGTTAAATAATGCAAGGTAAACATATACACATACAAAGAGGCTCAAAGGTCCATCAAATAAAGCTAACATCTTTAATTTGTACAATTATGAAAAAGGTTAGGATTATCTTGCAAACATCAACATATGATAGGTGACATGTGACTGATGAAAAACTGAGCCAAATACAAGTCTAGTGAACACGACTTAAGATAATGATTGGATCAATATTTTCTGTTTTAATTGATCCCTATAATAATTATTATTAAATAAATAAAGCATCCGACCAATTACTTAAATATAATTTTGTAGAAATGTAACAATTATTTGCATACAAGACGTGATAACTAAGACTATGTTTAGTCAGATATAAGCAACATAGAACCTAGCGTATATGTGGATCATTTCAAGTTGTCACACCACACCACGACATGTAACAGTTATATAAGTAGTAACAGTCTTAGCGGTATTAGAAAAGATTAAGCATAGAAGATATAATTTGACAAGAAAATATGAATTTGTGGAGTAAAAATTCCTTCCAGATATTTATGAAACTTAAGATCTAACGGAAAAAAGAGTGGATGCACCTCTATCATTGTGAACAATTGTGAGTCATTTCACTCAATGTTTCTAGTCATTAATGAAGATGATCGTTCAAACCTCAAACAAATAGTCTGAATCTACTTAAACGTCTCACTCCATCACTCAATATTTTCATGGACTGATGACACATTTGGTTTGACACTCCTATCTTCCTTATAACTTACTCCTGTACCAGCCATCATTGTCCATCGAGGTAGGCGGTAGTTGGGCATACGTAATACATGTCTCATCCACATCAGTCGATAAATAATCAGTACTTCACTAATTGGCTTGTGACCCTTACCTAGTAACTGTTGTCTAACCCTAACATTACTTACTCGGTCTCCATATCGTACAATATCTTTCCTTATGCTCAAATTTGGTGCTTGCTAAAAATAAACAGTTGTCTAAGCGCAGTTGCAGAAGACTTTCAACGTTTTCGTTCGCTTAAATTGAACATCTTAAGACCCACTTTGGTGTCCTTCACTTTTTTAGACTACCCACCAGGTGATTAAAATTCCCTACTACAATTACGATGTCTGTGCGTTTGACCTTTCGAAGTTGAACAAAAGGCTTTATGTAAAACTGATCATTTACTGCAGTCATGGGAGCATAGCCAACAACGACCAAGAGACGATTATATCTTTCCGAATTCTTACTGCCCTGTTTAATCGAAGAGTATACAATCGACTCTCATGATCCAGTTTAAAAGAGTCTTCTCTTTCGTGACTTAATGCTGCACTTACACATTCGAGACCACAAGAAGAAGCGGGTAGGCTACAAGCTACACCATGATATATCGCGTCAGTTCTCTATATTGACGTCAAGCGAATGACATCACTTTAGTTATTTATTCTTGTCTCCGATAAACAGTATACATCAATAGCACTAAATCCTAAGGACTTAGATAAGGAAGTCTGTTGTGTAATTTGACTCAAGTTTCGGACATTGAATGGTCGAACGTGTAATTCAGAGAGCTGTTTCAGGGGATCCACAATAGCACTTCATGAACTCAAATTGTTAGCGTTGGTGGCACATGGTTTTAAGGCCATGGAAGAAGCGTAGATACTAAGGATAGAAAAAACATTCAAGAGTGACGAAGGGATTTAATCATGAACAAGGTAATCTCGAGTGTGGAAGAGGTCGTCCCCTCGGAGTTGACCAAACTGTAAAAGGATATTTTTCTTGAGAGGTCTGTAAAGGAAACTGGGTCTCAGTTGGCCTCGGCGACCTTTGAGCATGATCACAGAGCCCAAAGGACAACTGCTTATGGCTGGTCACGCGCGGAACCTTTTTCACTTGTCAGCTCCTTAATTTAAAGTAATTATCATTTTAGACGAACAACTACGGGGCTAAGTCAGGTGTGACATTTTTAGCACTGGCCTTTTCTTATCCCTTCCTTTCGTTGTGAAAATCAGCATTTCTGTGGATGCCAGTACAACCACACCGTTGTCTCAGACCTCAATGAACATTAAAATCTATGTACTTAATGTAGGATCAGTTGTAAATAGATATTTGGCTTTGGTGATTACATTACATAGGTTCCTCGAAAATCCAAAATACTAATTGTTATTCGAGTTGCTAAAAACTGTCCGATTAATTTCTTATCTTTATAAACGATACACAGTCACTTGCTGCTCGTCACAAATAAGGTACGTTTGTGGTCAATATATTTCTACAAGTGTATACATTTTAACTGACATAAGATCATGCAGTGTACATTTATTGCATTTTCACTGTAAAGGATTGGTGATATTCAGTATAGTCTATGTTAATTTAGACTAGATATTTGTTGTTCCGTACGAATAAAAGTACCTGTGGTTTAATTTCATCGCCCACGCCTTCTAGCTCATTTGTGAATTAGTCATGTGCTGTTATTTGAGTTTTTATGCGGAAAAAACGCCATGTGGTACACGTGAAAATATGACCTTAAACAATATGTAGAAATTGATTCGTCAATTCACTATATGCATTCACAAGCAAATAAACATTGATGAAAACTATGATCTGTATAGAATTATTTGAACCTGTACCCTTTTTTCATTTCGTTACAATGAGACATTTGAGTTACTTTACAAGCTGTCTTTCTGATGCCTTTTCCTCTGAAATTGTATAGATTCTGTTTCACTAAAAAGAAAGCATCACTTAGCGGATCAACATTAAAGCACTAATTACTGTGAAAGAGACCTTTTAGTGTATTGATGTTTCATGCTACAAATCAAATTGAAATAGAATCAAAGGTGGTGGTATTCTGATAGAATAGGGTTAGCTCAACAAACCGGTACAAAAATGTTGGGGGAATTTGATCATTTATAGATGATTTAAAACTGAAACTAGTTACCTTAAGGAACCACTTCATAGGGTTAAAGTGGGATTATAAATTATTGTGAGGAATTACAACTAGCAGTCAGAGTTAAGAGCCAGGGTTAAGGTTCCCATCACTAACTGGCGTCAGCTATAATGCCAAAATGCTATTGAACTGTCTAGATGAATGCGTTTCGCTCTAAAATTCATGAGTTATTCTCTTCAATCTGACTAATTCATCTGTAAATTATAATCCTACCGATGGCAGTCACATTTACAGTATGTAACTGAATCATTGACCTTCTTTCTTTCCGTCTAACTTACCTAAAAATATTATAGTTTAAACCAGTTTTCTTGATAGTTATTGTAAGATTTTGACTAGAGATCACAGAGGAATTTTCCTTCTGGGTTATGTTTTTTTCGAAAAATATTACTACCGACTGAGTTGAAAGCAAAACTTAATAATGCCAGTTTTTTAACGTCTGCATGACCCTCTATCAATTGCATTGAACTTTACTTTGATACTCATTACTAAAAATGTTACGTGGGTGATGCCTTTTCCATGTCTTCTGTTGACTAATATTGGGTCTATCAGTTATATCATATCCAACAATTAACTAGTAAAAAGGATATTTTACACGTCAGATTACTAAGGTTGCTATCAAACACTGACGAAAATCTCACAGGAAATCATTTACTGGACACTAACGTTTTTTAAAAACACTTTTGAATGTTCTATCCTTGTTACAAATAACCTAGAAACAGATACCTTGAAAAAACGTGTAAAATATTTGTTAAGACGCGATAATGTATCGGTAAATGATTCAAAGTGATTATGTTTTATGCACAGAATAAAAAGCCCACTGTTTTGTTTCATATTGATATCTTTTATGAACTGTACAAATTTTCTGTGATGGTTGACAATCATTTCTA